TTATGATCAACTATAATAAAGACAGCAAACATCTATTCATTTGTTTGGGAGTGACTACGTGCTAGAGTTGTTCTTAACACTCAGTGTATGCTATTTAGCTTTCTCAACAACCCAATGAAGTAGGTAGGTGTTAGTATCAATCGCCATTCTCCAGATAGGAAATTGAGGCACAGAGAACTAAACCACTGGTTGAAAATTATACAGCTGGCTGGACATCGTGATACATGCCTGAAATCCCAGATATTCTGGGGGCTGAGGCAGGAGAGTGATTCATTTAAAGCCATCCTGAACAATTCAACCAAGATCCTATCTTTAAAAACAAAAAAAAGCTAGGCATCAGTGGCTCACACCTGTAATCTTAACTATTCATGAGGCTGAGATCTGGGGATTGCAGTTCAAAGCCAGCCCTGGCAGAAAAGGCTATGAGACTCTTATTTCCAATTAATCACTAGAAAACTGGAAATTGCACTGTGGCTCAAAGTGGTAGAGTACTAGCAAAAAGAGCAAAAATTGCTCAGGGACAGCACCCATATCCTGAGTTCAAGCCCCATGACTGGCACAATAAGGAAAAAGATTGCATAGCTTGTAGAGCTGAGAGTAAACCCTAGTCATACACCTTGTGTCTTTTAACTTCTATGAGATGATCAAGTCAAACTCAAAAACACGTAATCGAAGCTGGTCCCAGCATAGGACAAAGCCCTTTACAATTGAGAGCTTTAGGCAAGGTGTTATCCTTGAGCAAAGAGGCCAGCGACAGCACTCACGCCCTGAGTTCAAGACCAGGACCAGAACCACAACCAAAAAGGATTGAGAACCTTCCTTCTGTCAGGCACTGTTCTGGGTCCTACATATATAGAAGGGATGGGTCCTAATCAGTAAACCCCCTCCTTACTGTCAAGCACTCAATCATCCCCTTTTGTGCCCACAGGTGGCCATGGTGGAGGTACAGCTGGAGAGTGATCACGAATACCCACCAGGCCTGCTGGTAGCCTTTAGCGCCTGTACCACTGTACTAGTGGCTGTGCACCTCTTTGCACTCATGGTCTCCACGTGTTTGCTGCCCCACATTGAAGCTGTGAGCAACATCCACAACCTCAACTCTGTCCACCAGTCACCACACCAGCGACTCCACCGCTATGTGGAACTCGCCTGGGGTTTCTCCACTGCCTTGGGCACTTTTCTCTTCCTGGCTGAAGTTGTCTTGGTGGGTTGGGTCAAATTTGTGCCCATTGGGGCTCCCCTGGACACATCGGCTCCCATGGTACCTGCGTCTCAGGTGCCATCCGTGACCACCTCCTTCAATCCATCTTCCAACCTCCCAGCATCCTCTGCTTCTATAGCCCCTTCACGGACTGAGTCTCCTAAGAACTGCCCACCCCGGCAAATGTGTGGTGGTGGGGCCCACGGGCCCGGCTGGCAGGCAGCTATGGCTTCCACAGCCATCATGGTGCCAGTAGGACTTGTGTTTGTGGCCTTTGCCCTGCATTTTTACCGCTCTTTGGTGGCCCACAAGACAGACCGGCATAAGCAAGAGCTGGAGGAGCTGAGTCGCCTGCAGGGGGAGCTGCAGGCTGTGTGAGCCTGGCATCAGCCTCTACCGTGAGATCTGCCTCCCTCAGGTCTGGAAGGGCTCTGGGGCCTGCAGACCATCCTTACCCTTGGCTGGAGTCACTCCTTGTGGCCCCTCTCAGGTGGCCAGATTACTGTGGCCATGGAGGGAGAGGCGGGGGTGGGGGGGGTCTCACCTTCCCAGAGATGTTTCCTGTCAGTCCATGGGTTTTGTAAGTGAGCGCTATTTTGTCTAGCTGGGAGGAACAAGAAGGCAGGTAGAATCCTCAGTCCAGGGATCCTGGGGACTGCTGAGGGAGGAGGGTGACCTTAGTGAGACTTTTGGTGCCTACCCTCAACATCTTACTTCTCTATAGGATGGCTAGGTCAGAAGGTGACACACTCACACAGCTGCCCCTAGGCAGTCAGCCTTTGCTCCGGCTGTGTGGAATCTATATTACAGTTGTGTGCCAGTACTAGGGCTTAAACTCAGGGCCTAGGTGCTGTACCTTAGCTTTTTTGCTCCTAGGTTCTTGGTGGCTAATTGGAGATTGGAGTCTTCTGGAGTTTCCTGCTCCAGCTGCCTTTGAACCTCAATCCTCAGATTTCAGCCTCCTGAGTAGCTAGGATTACAAGTGTGAGCCACTGCCATCTGGCACAGTTGGCATTTTGATAGGCTCCACATTCTTGCTTTATCTGCTTTGGGTGTCTCTGGGTATTGGGTCAGCTTCTTTCCTAAAAGGAGACACCCTGTTTTTGGAGATTCAAGCCCACCCCTCAGTGGGCTCACACACCTCTGGATCTGATTCTCCCTTGAGTGTTTCAGGGGGGGAGGGTGTCTTTGAAGACCAAGGGCCTATGAGCCCCACTTAATTCTTTAGCAAGGATTGGGGAAGGTAGTTTTAAGGGAGGTCAGTCCTTTGACACTGAATTTTTCATTTTTTTTGAGGGGTCTGAAACTGGGACTTGAACTCGGTACCTAATATTTTCACTCATTGGCTAGCACTCTACCAACTGAGCGACACCTCCAACCCCTGACACTGAATTTTCGATCCACCTAGTTTTGTATAATAAAAGTGTGTTTCACAGATATCCTTGTAGCTGCGAATGGGATGAGGGGAGGCCTTTTGGATAAGGTTATTTATTCTGGCTGAGAATGTGGCTTAGTGGTGGAGTGCTTGCCTAGCATATGTGAAGCCCTAGGTTCGATTCCTCAGAACCATATAAACAATAAAAAACCAGAAGTGGTGCTGTGGTTCAAGTGGTAGAATGCTAGCCTTGAGCAAAAGAAGCTCAAGGACAGTGCCCAGGCCCTGAGTTCAAGCCCAGGACTAGCAAAATAAATATTTACAGGTTACTTATTCCTAAGAGCCAGGTAGAGGTGAGTATACCTAATAGGGAGAGGGTCCAGGTATAACAAGGACCAGTAGTTTCTTAATCTGGAAACAGTTATTCCAAGTCTAAGACTTTTGAACTTTTGAATCTCCATAATCTTTTCCATTCAGGATTTGAAGACACTTTTTTTTCTTGAGTCAACACTACATCCTAAGGAACTTCTCATAGGCTGTCCCATTTCACCCTCTCAAACACTTCAAGAGACAATTGTGTTATTTGTTTACAGTGGAAAAACACGATAGAGAATAGGAAGATGAGGCCCACGTGGGCTGATGATCTTGACCAAAGCTAGGCAGTGAGCAAGTCAGTGGGACTGAGCTTGGATTACCATTCCTGTCACATGAGAATCTTTCTGATTGAAAACAGGAATCAGTACCTTTCAACTTCAAGGAATCTCATGTCATCTCCTCTGCCTTCATGTAGATTTATTTTTTTCAGTCTTATTTCCTCTGTAATTTTAAACAGCCCTAATCCTCTGTCTTTTATTCTTGTGGCAGGAGACCTTGGACAAATGCTGTCCTTATTACTTAAAATAAAAACACCAAAACAGGCTTCAAAAACCTCTCCTGCACTGTTCTGATATCTTCAATATGTCTTCTGTGACAGAAATTACCCTCATTTTTTGAAGAAGTGGACACTCGAGGTCATACAGTGAGGGACTGTTATGGAGATGCAGTAGGTTCTGGGCATACTCTGGAGGGTAGTTCCTCTAGACACCAGGGCACCTGTGTCTAAACAAGATAAAAGGTTATTCAGAGCCTTGCCTCCGTGGCTCATGTCTATAATCTTAGCTACTCAGAAGGCTGAGACAGAATGATTCAGATTCGAAGCTAGCCCTGGTGGAACAATTGATGAGTCTCTGATCTCCAATTAACCAGCAAAAAGCCAGAAGTGACGGTGTAACAAGTGGTAGAACACCAGCCATGAGCAAAAAGCCAAGCAAGAGAGGCTCTGAGTTCAAGTCGAGGAAGAGGAGAAAGGAGGAGGAGGAAGAGAGAAAAACAGTCCTCAGTTTTAGGGCCACCTCAGCTCTAGGATCCCAAATTAAAAGCTGGGGTGAGGATGCTTGGATTCCTAAGTATATCCATTTATTTATTTAGGTATCTCTGCATATTCTTTCTTTCTATCTATCTATCTATCTATCTATCTATCTATCTATCTATCTATCTATCTATCTATCTATCTATCTATCTATCTATCTATCTATCTATCTATCTATCTATCTATCTATCTATCTGTCTACCTACCTACCTACCTATCTATCTATCGCGTCAGTTTGGGGGCTAGAAGTAGAGGGAGAGCTGTCCCTGAGATTTTATTTTTTTGCTCAAGGCTAGAGCTTTACCCTTTGAGCCACAGCGCCATATCCAGCTTCTAAGAGTCTCACAGACTTTCCTGCCCAGGCTGGCTTCAAGCCATGATCTTCAGATCTCAGCCTCCTGAGTATAGCTAGGATGACCGGCGTGAGCCACCAGCGCCCGGCGTCGGCTCTTTATTTTTTGTACACTTAGGGGACTCGAGACTCAGACCCCTGAGACCACCTAACACCCACCAGGGGTGGACCGAGCCTGGGAAAACGCTGCGCCTCGGTCAGACCTCCCGTCTCCCCATCCGTCGGATGGGCCGAACCCCTCCCGACGCTGCCTGCAGAATCAGGCGAACTGCCTGAGTCACCCTCGCTCCCGGGGGCATTCTTTTCACCTCCGGGCGCCCCTCCCCGCCCCGCTGGTTTTTTTGGTGGGTCCAACAGGAAGCGCCCGCGTGACGTCGTGGCTCCGCACGCCCAGGCCCCGCCCCTCCGCCGCGCGCGCGCGCGCGCGCGCGGCCCTGGCCCCGCCCACAGCGGGATCCGCAGATTCGCTAGGTCGGCTCCTCAGGCCGGCGTGGGTCCCTTCCCTTGGTTGAACATTCCTCCTCGGAATCCTGAGAAGACTTTTGCATTGTAGCCATTTCCCCCCCCCCCCTCCCCTAGGTCGGAAGTGGACCGTCCCTTGGGCTGTGCTAGTCGGAAAGATCCAGAAGGAAAAAAAAAAAACAAAAAACAAATAGCTGACTCTGCCAGCAGGAGTGGGCTGCCCGGGCATGACTGTCTTCGCCTCTGGAGCCGAGCCGGCGGGGAATCTGCAGTCGTCTCGACTTCTGGCTGCGCGAGGAAGAGGCAGGAAAGAAGCGCCCGGGGGCTGGCCCCGCCCGCCTCGCGAATCTGCGTCCGTCCAAAGCGCCGCTTGAGCATCCCCGGCGCTGCTGGCCACCTCCCCGCGCTCCGCCCCCTTCCCTCGGGGACGAGTCGCTGCTTTCGTCGCCGCCGATTCGCCGGGAGCCCAAGAGAGAAGCAGCTGGGTAGTGGCGGTGAAGCCCACTCTCCGGGGAATGCGGCCGGTCTCCAGAATCCCTGGGCCGAACCTCTTGAGCCTTATAGGCCGCTGGCCACGGCAAGGCCACTACCTTCGGCTCCGCGGAGCTCCCGGGGGCACCCGTGGCGAAAGTGCGAATGCGGACGCCGCGCCCGCTGGGCCTCGTGCAGGTGGCGGTGGTGTTTGGTGCGCGCGCCGGGGAGGTGGTGGTGGTGGGGGGGCGCCGCCGCCGCCACCGCTGCGGGGCCGGGTGTCGCGCTGCCGCCGCCGCCGCCGCCGCCGCCGCCTCGCGCCGCTGAGGTGCTGCGCGGGGTGGGGGAGGGGAGCCGCTCTTCGCGAGCGGGTGAGTGGGGTCGCGGCGCGCGTGCGCGCGGAGGCCGCGGGGCGCAGAACGCGCCCGGGCGGGAGGAGAGGGCAGCGGCGCGCGTCCCCCGCCCCCCCCACCCCCCCCCTCCCGCGCGGACTCGGCCCGAAGCCGGGGTTCGGGATCGGTCTCGCGGTGTTTCCAACGCCCCGGAGAGGCGTCCCATCTTGGGCTGAGAGTCAGGGCGCGGGGCCGGGAGCGAGAGCCGGGCTCGGCCCGGGCCGCTGGCCGGTGAGGAGGCGGGAGGGGGCGGGGCCTGCGGGGCGGGGGAGGGGTCTGCGCCGAGGCCGCGCGGGGAGAGCGGGAAGGTGAGGGGCACGAGCGGGGACCCCCGAGCGCAGAGGCAGGAGGTGGGGCGAGGATGGGGCGCCATGGGGAGGCTGGGTGCCTGGGGCAGAACCGAGGGGTGTGTGTGGGGGGGGGACCGGACCACGGTGCGGCGTGGACACGGGGGTGATGAGAGGACCTGGAAGCCTGGGTTAGCCAATGAGGGGGAGGACAGCGGAGTCCGGCAGGGTCCTGGACCCCCTTTGCGTACCCCCTCTTTTCCTCTCAGTGTAAATGAGCAGAGATGGATCAGGAAGGTGGGGGAGATGGGCAGAAAGCCCCGAGCTTCCAGTGGCGGAACTACAAGCTCATCGTGGATCCTGCCTTGGACCCTGCCCTGCGCAGGCCTTCTCAAAAGGTGTACCGCTATGACGGCGTCCACTTCAGCGTCAACGTGAGTGCCTGGCCTCTCCTGCGCCCCTCTCTTCTTGCCCTGGCCTGGAGCCGCCGTACCCATGGCATCCTTCTCAGAAATCAGGGAGGGAACCCAGCTCTGTTGCATGGGCTGGGGAGGGTCTTCACGTGGGCAGGAAGCTTAGGGCCCAGACACCTGGTCTCATCCTGAGCCACCTTTTCTCTTCCTGACTTCCTTGCTAGGACTCTAAGTATATACCAGTCGAAGACCTCCAAGACCCTCGTTGCCATGTCAGGTCCAAAAACAGAGACTTTTCCCTCCCAGTCCCCAAGTTCAAGGTAAGTGTCTGCTAGTTTTCTTGCCATGGTGGCCCTTGGAGGGGGTAGAGGATCTTGGCACTCTGGACTTCACATAGCCTGATGAGTGCTCCAGTGACATACTGACAGCCTGGTCTAACCATTCCTGAGACTGTGGCACTGAGCGGTTTGGGACAGGAGGTACACAGGTATAGCAGTGGTATCCAGATGTTTCCTTGGCAGCAAGGGTCTTGACTTCTGCCATTTCTCTTACTGTGTCTTTTATGACAGTACATGGCAGGGCAGTGGGGCATCCTAGTTCATCCACAGGTAGAGGAATGACGGAGCACTGCCTTCCAGGAGTCCTCTGTTCCTCACTTTTTGTCCGGTCATATGCTCCTCCATCTTGTTTCTTAAGCGCATTCCCACTTCTCAGTCTAAGCAAGCAACTTATCAGGCCTTGGACTGAGCCTAGAACTAGTTCTTAGTTTCCTTCAGTTATTCTTTGAGTTTTTCTTTTCTGAGTAGTTTGTGGGTATATATGCTTTTTTTTTTTTAAACTTCTTATGCTTTCTGTGGACAACCTCTTTCATATCAACCCAAATGTTGGTGACTTTCGAATATCTTATCAGCCAATGTCAGTCTTGAACTCCAGGCTTATGTGCCTGGTAGAGGTAAACAGCTCTACCTGGAGATCCCATACACACCTCAAACTCAAGAAACTTAAAACAAGTTTCTTTTAACCTCTTAATACTACTCTCCTTTCCTTTTTCCCTCTACTGACAAAGGGCAGCACCAACTACCCAGCTGCCCAGGCCAGAAACCAGGGAGTCATCTGTTTTATCTTAAATCTTTCTATTTTCATTCCTTAATGCAGACCTTTGTATTTGTTTTACTTGGTTTTCCCCACTTACATTTTTTGCTCTATTCTGCAGTCTTGTGTCTGATTTTATTGTTATTTTACTATTATTGTCCAGTGTGTGTTTTTGGGCATTGCATGTATTATTCATCTGGCCAAGCCTTATCTTCCACCTTATCTTCCTACATTCCTTTCACACTATACACTTTTGATTTTTTGTTTGTTTTTGTGCTGGTCCTGGGGCTTGAACTCAGGACCAGGATGCTGTCCTTATGCTCTTTTTTTAAATCGTTGTTACTAGGGTACTGTCCAGAGAGGTTATCATTTCATAAGTCAGGTGATGAGTACCTTTCTTTTTTTTTGGACAGTGTCACTCCTTCCTTTGCTTTCCCGTTTCCCCCTCACATCCCTGCCCATAAAATACATAGTTTCTTTTCTTTTCTTTTTTTTTTTGTCGGTCATGGGGCTTGAACTCTGGGCCTGGGTGCTGTCCCTCAGCTCTTCAGCTCAAGGCGAGCGCTCTACCACTTGAGCTACAGCGCCACTTCCGGTTTTCTGGTGGTTTTTATTGGAGATAGGAGTCTCACGGTCTTTCCTGCCCGGGCTGGCTTTGAACCGCGATCCTCAGATCTCAGCCTCCTGAGTAGCTAGGATTACAGGCGTGAGCCACCAGCGCCCGGCACATAGTTTCTTTTCTACATAGTGTATACCAAATAGCATGATTGCATCTATCCACCCTTCCTCTGCCTCCCTCTTTGCTCCCCAAAAGGGGGAAAAAACCCTCAAAAGCAAAAATAAACACACCAACATCACTTGAGCCAAGGTTCCACTTTTGGCTTTTTTTGATGATTAATTGGAGATAAGAGCCTCACAGAGTTTCCTGCCTGGCTGGCTTTGAACAGTGATCCTCAGATCTCAGCCTCCTGAGTAGCTAGAATTACAGGTGTGAGCCACTGGCCTTACACTCTGATTTTTAGAAAGTGCCATATTGTGGAGTTTCCTGGCCTAAAAGTCCTTGTTTTGGTGTAGCAAAACAGACAGAACCAGAATGATACCATCTCTGTGAATCCTTCCCTGATTCTACTCTGTACAAAGGTGCCCTTCTCTTGGTTCCTTCTCTACACTTCTCTTGGCACCATATCACACTGTGACTGTGTCTGTGTATCTGCTTTTTTCAATGGGAATCTTTTTTTCCTTCTTTATATTTCTAATGCTTGGCCCATGGCAGTCAGAAAGTGAGCTAGTCAATTGTTTCTCTACAGCTACTTCCTTCACATAATTATTCTTCCATTTGTGCGTTTTGTTCCTAGTTTTTGTGCCACTTGGTGAGAAGGATTCCAGGAGAGAAAGGTCAAGACTGATAGAGCCCTTGTGATCCTCCTTCTTTTGCCCTGCAATCTCCCAGATCTCTCTCTTGATTGCTAAAGTTTTCTAAAGGGCAAAGGGTCAGTGGTCAGTATAGAGACCCCAGACCAATTCCTCTCCTCTCCACAGCTGGATGAGTTCTATATCGGACAGATCCCATTGAAGGAAGTGACTTTCGCAAGACTGAATGACAACGTGCGGGAAACCTTCCTGAAGGATATGTGCCGAAAGTATGGCGAGGTGGAAGAGGTGGAGATCCTTCTTCACCCCCGTACTCGGAAGCACCTGGGCCTGGCCCGAGTGCTCTTTACCAGCACTCGGGGTGCCAAGGAAACGGTCAAAAATCTCCACCTAACCTCTGTCATGGGCAACATCATCCATGCCCAGCTTGACATCAAAGGTGAGGGTTTTCCTGTCTGCTGCCCAGCATTGGTCTCCAGGAACGACATGGAGGCACATATGCTTCCATGGGTCGGGCAGGTGATCGTCATGATTCCTTGTCTGAAACTCTTGGGGCCAAGTGTGTCTTGAAACTTACAATATTTCAGATTTTAGGGGAATTCTGGTACATATATGATGTTGTGTATATCATTGTCAGCATGGTTAATGAGCAATCTCAGTCAAGCATGGGAGTCTATCTAAAATCACATGAATTATAGTAAATAAATCTGGATGCCATGTTCTCAAAAAATACTGGGTTTTCAGGGTTGGCTTTTTGTTTTCTTTTTCTTTTTTCCTGGTCCTGGGGCTTGAACTCAGGGCCTGGGTGCTGTCCTTGAGCATTTTGCTCAAGGCTCTACCACTTTGGCACAGATCTACTTCCAGCTTTTAGGTGGTTAATTGGAAATAAGAGTCTTATGGACTTCTCTGTAAGGGCTTGCTTCAAACCATGATCCTCAGATCTTGGCCTCCTGACTAGGATTACAAATGTGAGCCACCAGCAACTGGCTAGTTTTTGTTTGTTTGTTTGTTTGTTTTTTGGTGCTGTTCTGGGACTTGAAGGTTCTGAGGCTCAAGGCCAGTGCTCTGCCACTTGAGTCACAGCTCCACTTGCAGCTTTTTCTAAGTTGATTGAAGATAAGGGTCTCAGGCTTTCTTGCTGGGCTGGCTTTGAACTGCGATCCTCAGATCTCAGCCTCCTGAGTAGCTAGGATTATGAGGATGAGCCACTGGTGCCCTGCTTTTTTTTTGGTCGGTCATGGGGCTTGAATTCTGGGCTTGGGTGCTATTCCTGTGCTCTTCAGCTCAAGGTGAGCTCTCTACCGCTTGAGCCACAGTACCACTTGCAGTTTTCTGGTGGTTAATTGGAGATAAGAGTCTCATGGACTCGGGGCTGGGAAGGTGGCTCAGTGGTAGAGCGTTTGCCTAACATGCATGAGGCCCGGGGTTCGATTCCCCAGCACCACATAAGCAAAAAGAAAAAAGCCGGAAGTGGCTCTGTGGCTCAAGTGGTAGAGCACTAGCCTTGAGCTGAAGAGCTGAGGGACAGCGCCCAGGCCCAGAGTTCAGGCCCCACAACCGGACCAAAAAAAAAAAAAAAAAGTCTCATGGACTTTTCTGACCGGGCTGGCTTTGTACCGTGATCCTCAGATCTGGGCCTCCTGAGTAGCTAGGATTACAGGCGTGAGCCACCGGCCCCTGGCTGGTGCCCTGCTTTTTTGGTAGGTAAGCTGGGTACTGGAGACATAGTAGTGATTGCATACCTAGCATACAAGCCATTGGATTTGTTCTCTATCACTACTGGAAAGAACAAATAAATAAAACAGTCCTGAATTTGCTTTCAAGGTGTGGTAGGGAAGCTGAAGGTATGGCTTTAATGAGGCCCGAGTTCAAACCTCACTCCATCACCACAAAAAGGAGCAATAAGAAAAAGTAGGCTCTATGCCAGATTGCAGGGTTGTAGCGCCATCTGAATGGGGCAGCTGTTTGGCACTAGCCAGCTTGCAAGAGGGAATGAGGACTAGTTCCCAAGTTTGAATTTCAGAAGAAAACTTTGTAATCTCATGCTTTTTAAAACAACTATTACAAGCTGGGTGTTGGTGGCTCACGCCTGTAATCCAAGCTACTCAGGAGGCTGAGATCTGAGGATTGGGGTTCAAAGCCAGCCTGGGCAGGAAAGTTTGTGAGACTCTTATCTCCAGTTAACCACCAGAAAACCGGAAGTGGCGCTGTGGCTCAAGTGGTAGAGTGCCGGCCTTGAGATGAAGAGCTCAAGAACAGCACCTAGGTCCAGAGTTCAAACCCCATGACTGACTAAAAAGAGACCAAAAACACTTATTACGTTTTCTCAAATTTTTTTGAAACTAGTGTGCAAATTATATAAAATGCAACGTAGGCTAGATTGTCTTGAGGCTGCTCTTCTGTAGCCTTTTATTTATAGGATGAAGAGCCTGGGGTGGGAGGTGCTTAGCATTAGATAAACCTGGGTTTAAACTCTTCTGCCAGTCAGATTTTTTTGTTAGCATATGTTAGTTATATAGGGGGAATTTCATTGGACTTTTCCACTGATGTATATATAATATATACAGTATATACAATATGACCATGTTGATTAGTTTTGTGTGTGTGTGTGTGTGTGTGTGTGTGTGTGTGTGTGTGTGTGTGTTGATACTGGGGCTTGAACATATGGTTTAGACAATGTCCTTTAGCTTTTTCTGCTCTATCATTTGAGCCATAGCTCAACTTCTGGCTTTTTGATGCTTCATTGGAGATAAGGATCTCATGGACTTCCCTGCCCAGGGTGGCTTCAAACCACAATCCTCTGATCCCAGTCTCCTGAATACTTAAGATTAAAAGAGTGAGCCATTGGTGACTAGCCAGTCAGTTTCTTTCTTTCTTTCTTTCTTTTTTTTTTTTTGTCGGTCATGGAGCTTGAACACTGGGCCTGGGCGCTGTCCCTGAGCTCTCCTGTTCAAGGTGAGCACTCTACCATTTGAGCCACAGGGCCAATTCACGTTTCCTGGTGGTTAATCGAAGATATGAGTTTCACGGACTTTCCTGCCCAGGCTGACTTTGAACTGTGATCCTCAGATCTCAGCTTCCTTGGTAGCTAGGATTACAGTCATAAGCTACCAGTGCCCAGCCAGTCAGTTTTCTTTACACTTGTAAAATAGGGACACTGGTGTGTTTTTCCCTCTCTCCTATTGATCATTGAGTATACTAGCATATATATAGGAATGTTACTAGTAAACTGAAAAGTGTCAGAAGAATTTTTTTTTTTTAGTAGTAAAGTGGTTAAGAGATAAAAGAGTAAGTTCCTAAAGATAAAGAAATAAATAAAGATAAAAAACTGGACTGGGAAGGTGGCTTAGTGGTAGAGTGCTTGCCTCCCATGCATGAGGCCGCCCTGTGTTTGATTCCTCAGCATCACATATACAGAAAAAAGCCAGAAGTGGGGCTGTGGCTCAAGTGGTAGAGTGCTAGCCTTGAGCAGAAGAGCTGAGGGACAGCGCCCAGGCCCAGAGTTCAGGCCCCATGACCGATGACAAAAAAAATAAAATAAAATAAATATATAAATAAAATTGAAGTCTAAGGAGGGAACGGATAACCACACAAGGAAAGGAGTTGTTTTCAGCTTCTTTTCATTTTTCTCCCTGTAGGACAACAACGAATGAAGTACTATGAACTGATCGTCAATGGCTCCTATACCCCTCAGACTGTACCAACTGGAGGCAAGGCCCTGAGTGAGAAGTTCCAGGGTTCTGGTGCAGCCACGGAGACGGTGAGCAGCTATGGCCGCCACAGCCTTGGCCACTTAAATACAATGCCTAATTACCAGGACTAGGACCTGTTTTGAGAGGTTCTAGGCTTCACTGTTAGGTAAAGGAACTGTTGAGGTAAATGCCTATTTGCTTTCGAAAGACAGAACTAGGATTCTTGGTTTGAGGCAAAGCAAGTTTTTAAGCCATGTCTGATTTCTTTCTCCTTGTTCCTCCAGACTGAGTCCCGCCGCCGTTCTTCTTCGGACACAGCCACCTACCCAGCAGGCACTGCTGTGGTGGGCACCCCTGGCAATGGTACCCCCTGCTCCCAAGACACAAGCTTCTCCAGCAGTCGACAAGACACCCCATCTTCTTTTGGCCAGTTCACCCCTCAGTCATCCCAAGGAACACCCTACACATCTCGGGGCAGCACCCCCTACTCTCAGGACTCCGCCTACTCCAGCAGGTAAAGCACAAGCACCATGGGGGCCCCTGGCCATCCAATTCTGGAAACAGCCAGCTGCCACAGGGAAGAATCCCAGAATCTGAGATCACTTAATCCAGTCTGTAGGTTTAGCAGACAAACTGCTGTCTGCAGAGAGAATAGCCAGAACTGGGCATGTAATGCTTTGGGGTCAGTGCAGAGCACCTGTGGGTACGCGAACAGGGAGGTCAGGTTTGGTGACATGGAGATCTCGAGCCCAGCTCCCTCTCCCTTTTCTTCTCCAGCACCACTTCAACCTCCTTCAAGCCCCGGCGGTCAGAGAACAGCTACCAAGATTCCTTTTCTCGCCGCCATTTCTCTGCATCTTCAGTTCCCACGACTGCCTCCACAGCCATCTCAGCCACCACCACCGCCACCGCTGCTTCTTCCTCCTCCTCTTCCTCCTCTTCCTCCTCCACTTCCTCCTCCACCTCTTCCTCCTCATTGTCCTCATCTTCATCGTCATCATCCTCTTCTACATCTTCTCAGTTTCGTGCTTCTGACTCAAACTACCCAGCATATTATGAAAGCTGGAATCGCTATCAACGCCATGCATCTTACCCACCTCGTCGAGCAACTCGAGAGGAGCCTCCTGGTGCCCCCTTTGCTGAAAACACAGCAGAGCGCTTTCCACCTTCATACACCTCCTACTTGCCCCCTGAGCCCACTCGGCCCACTGACCAAGACTACCGGCCTCCTGCCTCCGAGGCCCCACCCCCAGAGCCTCCAGAACCTGGTGGAGGTGGCGGTGGTGGGGGGACCAGCCCTGAGAGGGAAGAAGCTCGGACCTCCCCCCGCCCAGCCTCACCTGCTCGCTCGGGCTCCCCAGCCCCAGAGACCACCAATGAGAGCGTGCCCTTCGCGCAGCACAGCAGCCTGGATTCCCGCATTGAAATGCTGCTCAAAGAGCAGCGCTCCAAATTTTCTTTCCTGGCCTCTGACACAGAGGAGGAGGAAGAGAACAGCACTGCAGGCCCTGGGGCTAGAGACCCAGGGAGTGAGGTGCCTGCCGGGTCAAGTCACGGGCCCTGCACACCCCCTCCAGCCCCGGCGAGTTTTGAGGATGTGGCTCCTACAGGGAGTGGGGAGCCAGGGGCTGCCCGAGAGTCTCCCAAGGCCAACGGGCAGAGCCAGGTGAGATGGGGGTCAGCTAGAAGGGGGGTTTGGGGCCTAGGAGGCAGGGTGGACCTGGGGGAGGGGAAAGGAACTAGACAGGAAAATGAGTTTGGAGATGAACCCAGGAACACAGTTTTTCTGTGCTTCTCTCCACCCTTGCAGGCTTCTCCTTGCTCTTCTGGAGAGGACATGGAGATCTCTGATGATGACAGGGGTGGCTCACCCCCTCCGGCCCCAACGCCCCCCCAGCAGCCTCCACCTCCACCCCCTCCGCCGCCGCCACCTCCTCCCTACCTGGCTTCCCTTCCTCTTGGTTATTCTCCCCACCAACCTGCCTACCTCCTCCCACCCCGCCCCGATGGGCCACCACCCCCTGAGTACCCCCCACCTCCTCCTCCACCACCCCATATCTATGACTTTGTGAACTCCCTGGAACTCATGGATCGACTCGGGGCTCAGTGGGGAGGGATGCCCATGTCCTTCCAGATGCAGACCCAGATGTTAACGAGACTCCACCAGCTGCGACAGGGCAAGGGATTGACTGCTGCCTCTGCCGGGCCTCCTGGTGGGGCCTTTGGGGAGGCCTTCCTTCCTTTCCCACCCCCACAAGAGGCTGCCTATGGTTTGCCCTATGCTCTTTATACACAAGGGCAGGAAGGCCGTGGAGCATACTCACGGGAGGCCTACCATCTACCTTTGCCCATGGCAGCCGAGCCCCTGCCCTCTTCCTCAGTCTTGGGAGAAGAGGCCCGGCTGCCTCCCAGGGAGGAAGCAGAGCTGGCAGAGGGCAAAGCCCTGCCATCAGCTGGCACTGTGGGCCGTGTATTGGCTACTCTAGTCCAAGAGATGAAGAGCATCATGCAGCGAGACCTCAACCGGAAGATGGTGGAGAATGTGGCCTTTGGAGCCTTTGACCAGTGGTGGGAGAGCAAGGAGGAGAAGGCCAAGGTGAGGAGGGCTGCTATCTGGACTTGGAGACCAGGGCTTTGCTGGATGAGATCTACCTCAGACTTCTCCAGGCTGCACAGTTCAAAATGAGAGAGGTCAAGGCAAATGAAGAGTCAGGCTATGGATACTCAGGGACATTAGCTGGGCAAGGAAGTTGGGCCAAGCCACAGGGAGGTCAAGCACAGGACCGAGAGAGAGCTTTGTCCTAGCTCTGTTGCTTGCTTTCAGTGGGCCATGGCAGTGAGGCAGTTCTGGGCTTGTCTTGTCTTTGGCCATCTATGAAGTGGGAAAAGAAATAGTTGTATCCTGTAGTTGAGGGTCTAAATGAACAGACCTGAAAATTATACCCATAAGGGCCTGGTAGAGGCATGACAGGGGCCAGTGGAGGGGCCAGTGAAGGGATTTCTGTGTGGCTGGGTCTTGGGCTCAGTCCCCATGCTGCCTGCAGCCATTCCAGAATGCAGCCAAGCAGCAAGCCAAGGAGGAGGATAAAGAGAAGACGAAGCTCAAAGAGCCAGGAATGCTTTCCCTGGTAGACTGGGCCAAGAGTGGGGGTACCACAGGCATCGAAGCCTTCGCCTTTGGGTCCGGTCTGCGAGGAGCCCTGCGGCTGCCTTCCTTCAAGGTACCCCGAACTGTACTTCTATTTTTTGTGGGATGGGAGAGGGGAGGCTTTCCTTGGAGCTGTGATAGTGGGAACTGAGTTTGAAATGGGCCCAATCTTCTCCATCCTCCAGGTAAAACGGAAAGAGCCGTCAGAAATTTCAGAAGCCAGTGAGGAAAAGAGGCCCCGACCCTCCACTCCAGCTGAAGAAGATGAAGATGGTAAGTAGGAGACAAGGCAAGAGAGAGGACTGCATGAAGTTCTGATAGAAAAGCAAGAGGCAGAGACAAAAGGGACAAGGGTATTGTGAGGGCAAGGTACAAGTGGAGAGGTAGGTTGAGGTTAAAAGGAAAATAAAGTGGTCTTAAGAGTTGTCACAGATGGGTTGCATGAGATGTGTTCTTGGATTGTAGTTGTGTAGAATGCTGGTTGTAGTTGGTTTGTATCTTGATTTTTCTACTTAAAATAGGAACAATAACTTCCATATTTGAAGTCACAGACTTTGGAGATTATAATAAGTCACTACCCACATTTCCCATTCACTCCTGCAGCCTCTCTTTCAGTTCATCCAAGTCTCAGCTGTTGGTTGACAGCTTCTGCGGCTTGAAACTTAACTGAATCACATCTACTGCCTAGTGGTCCATTGTCCTTAGTTCTCTTTCTCTTGGGTCAGACATGACAAGTTGTTTTCCTCTTTCACCTGACCTAGAAAAGAATGAAAGATAAAATGGGTAGGATGTGCCTAAAATGATAATTATAAGAAATATCAGATAAACGTAAAGTTTTGTGTTTCATTTGCTGCCTGCTAGGGCGTTAGGTGGGCAGAAGCATATGTAAAACTCCTAGGACCAAACTGATGGTTGAGGATAATTGCTCTCACCGCCCTACTCCTCCTTTTTGTTCTAGACCCTGAACGAGAGAAGGAAGCCGGAGAGTCAGGACGTCCAGCAACTAAGCCCCCAAAGCGAGATGAAGAGCGAGGCAAGGCCCAAGGCAAGCACCGGAAGTCCTTTGCTCTGGACAGTGAGGGGGAGGAAGCATCCCAGGAGTCTTCCTCTGAGAAGGTGAGAGCCTAGGCATGTTAGCTCAGAAATTTGCTTTATTCTTGTTTGGAGGTGCTGGGGATTGAACCCGGTACTTGGTAAGCAGGTGCTCTACCACTTGTGCCACACTCCTGGCTCCCAGAAGCTTGATCCTCAGTCTCCTCTCTCAGAGTCAGCTTCTTTCTGGGCTCGAGCCTAGACAGCTGTATCTTCTCATGGTACAATTGTCCCTTTTTCCCACCCTACCCCCACCCCCTTTTTTTTTCTGTGCCAGTTTTCGGGACCCTGTACTCTCACTTGGCTTTTTTTGTTCAAGGCTGGTGCTCTACTATTTAAGACACACCCCCACTACTAGTTTTTTGCTGGTGAATTGGAGATAAAGAGTCTCACAGAAAAAAAGAAAAAAAGAGTCTCACAGACTTTTTTTTTTTTTGGTCGGTTGTGGGGCCTGAACTCGGCCTGGGCACTGTCCCTCAGCTCTTCAGCTCAAGGCGAGCACTCTACCATTTGAGCTACAGCGCACTTCTGGCTTTTTCTGCTTATGTGGTGCTGAGGAATCGAACCCAGGGCTTCATGCATGCAAGACAAGCACTCTACCACTGAGCCACCTTCCCAGCCCATCACAGACTTTTTTTTTAAACCCAGACTGGCTTCAAACCTTATCCTCAGATCTCAGCTTCCCAAGTAGTTTAGGATTATAGGTATAAGCCATCAGTGACCAATAGTTCCTACTCTGTTAACCCCTATTTGTTCTTTTCCTTAAGGATGAGGAGGAGGATGAGGAAGATGAGGAAGACGAAGAAGGAGAAGAAGCAATGGACACCACGAAGAAGGAGGCAGATGCATCAGATGGTGAGTGCAGGTAGTTGGGGAGAGCTCTTCTTGGGTAGGAAGGGATTTTGGTCACCTGACTTACACTTTCCCACACCCATATCTTTCCTGTGTGGACACCTTTGCCCTCCACAGTAGAAATTGCTTTAGCTACAGTCTTTAAGCTTTAACTTTGGTGCTTACTTCTTCTGAAACACCTCTTCCTTTGAAATAGTGCAGCAAAGTCTTCATATTTCGCCAAGTCCCAGAGATGAGAAGGGTCTGCATTATCCTTCTCCCCTTTGGTGTTACCAGACCAGACCTTCCTACCTTTGATCACTGTTCTTTAAGGTCTAGTCACCAAGCTAGCCTCCCTCTTCCCTTCCTAATAGCTCCGGTCACCCAAATACTCATCCAGTTTAAGATCTGTGGGTTCTTCACATCTAGGTTTGGGTATATGATGTCGACTTCCTTTCTACTCACTCGTTTAGAAATCGCTTTATGGCTGGGTGCCGGTGGCTCACGCTACTCAGAAGGTTGAGATCTGAGGGTCATGGTTCAAAGCCAGCCCGGGCAGGAAAGTCCATGAGACTCTCTCATCTCCAATTAACCACCAGAAAACGGGAAGTGGCGCTGTGTCTCAAGTGGTAAAGCGCTAGCCTTGAGATGAAGAGCTGAGGGACAGCCCAGGCCCAGAGTTTGAGTCCCACGACTGACAAAAAAGGAAAGAAATAGCTTTATGGCCCTCCTCAGTGCAAGTGCTGTTTTAGGTACTTAGGGTACAACAGTAACTGAGGCAAATGGCTCCTGCTTTTGAGGGCTTGTTTTTTGAGGGCTTGTTGGAAGAGAGATGGAGACTTGAAAACAAGCAAGCAAATCGTGTTGGGCTATGAAGAAGATGAAACAGTAATAGGGTAGAGTAATAGTGCAGTAAACTGAGGAGTCACTTCTTTTTTTGGTGGGGGGCGGGGGCGGGGAGAAGGGGTTGGTCATTGGCTTGAATTAAGGTCCTGATGCTGTAACTCAACTCTTTCACTCAAGGCTAGCACTCTTTATTACTTTGAGCCACAGTGCTACTTCTGGTTTTCTGGTGGTTAACTGGAAATAAGAGCCTTACAGACTTTCCTGCCCAGGCTGGCTTTGACCTGTGATCCTCGGATCTCAGCCTTCTGAGTAGCTAGGATGACAGGCATGAGCCACCAACACTCAGCTAAAAGAAGTCACTTTTCTACATGATAGGCAAGTTGTGCATCTCAAGAGCCAGGATGGCACCATGCATGATCTGAGAGAACCCTCCTTGCTTGAGCAGAGGCTAGGTTGCTGTCAGTGTGGCTACACAGCTACCTATACTCCTTGGGCGCTTCTTGCATTTGTTTCCTTTGTCATTGCTGTTAGGTTTTTCATTTGGGTTCTTGTAGTAGTCTTTAATGATTTCTGTTTCAATCCTCCTCCCTCCATTCTAATACATTTTTCCAAACTACTGGTAAACTTGTCTTTCCAGACATGTACAGACGTTATTAACCTCTCTGCAGTCTTTTCCTGGTTTCCTATTTTCCACAAGGTGATCAGTAATTCAGCTCTTACTTAATCCATTCACCTCCATCTCACAATTCTCTAGAGCCCTTGCCAGCCACTACTACCATCTAGCTTGGATTGCTTAATCTTACATTCCTTAAAGATTATGGAGTTCTGGGGCTGGGAAGGTGGCTCAGTGGTAGAGCACTTGCTTTGCATGCCTGAGGCCCTGGGTTCGATTCCCCAGCACCACATAAGCAAAAAGAAAAAAAGCCGGAAGTGGCGCTGTGGCTCAAGTGGTAGAGCGCTAGCCTTGAGCTGAAGAGCTGAGGGACAGCACCCAGGCCCAGAGTTCAGGCCCCACGACCAGACCCCCCCCCCCCCCCCAAAAAAAAAAAAAATGATTATGGAGTTCTCAGATTTCTTTATTTTTATTTTCATTTTGTTGGTCGTGGGACTTGAACTCAGGGCCTGGGCACTCAAGGCTAGTGCTCTACATATTGAATCACAGCTCCACTTTTTAAAGAAAAATACTACTTTTTGTTTGTTTTTGTGGCACTGAGGAATCAAATCCAGGGCCTCATACATGCTAGGCAAGCACTCTACTACTACGCCACATTCCCAGCCCGTGTGTGTGTGTGTGTGTGTGTGTGTGTGTGTGTGTGTGTGTGTGTGTGTGTGTGTGTGTGTGTGTGTGTGTGTGTATGTGTGTGTGTGTGTGTGTGTGTGCGCGCGTGTGTGCGCGCACGTGTGTGTGTGCGCGCGTGCGTGCGTGCACGTGCGCGCTGGGGCTTGAACACTCTGTGCTCAAGGCTAGCGCTCTACCACTTAAGCCATAGGTCTACTTTCAACTTTTTTTGTAGTTTAGTGGACTGGCTTCAAACTGTGATCCTCAAATCTCAGCCTCCTGAGTAGTTAGGATTACAGGTGTGAGCCACCAGTGCCAAGCTCTGATTTCTTTTTATGGAGTACTGGGATTTGAACTCAGGGCTTCATGCTTTCTAGAAAAGCTGACAGCTACCAGGTGAGCCAGGCTTCGAGTGGGCTGAGTGCAAGGATTCAGGCCTGCACCACTAATCCTGGCTGATTATTAAGCTTCCTTTTTGACTCTAGGATCCTTTCTCAGAATCTGCTGGCCCATCTTGGTGCTTTAAGTAGCTATTTGTCAGTCTCTAGGTCTCTGTCTCTTCTTGCCTTTGGCATTTTTACATGGCAGGACTCCCGTCCTTCTTGATTTCAATGTCCCCTTAAAGAGGCCTTCCCTGACTCATTCGCTTTTCCAGTCAGAATCCAGGGCTCTCCCCCTGACTTCCCAGCCCCCAGCATACTGCTGATTGTCACCTGTGAGCAGAGGTTTGCTTATTTTACTCCTTGACGTCTTGGACTTCCAGCCCTTGGCTTATCCTGAATACTGAGTACTGAGTCAGAGAATGACCCCACAGCTTGACCAAGTGAAGGTCTTCTCACCTCGCCTGATTGCCCCTTCTGGATTTCCAGGCGAGGATGAGGAAAGCGATTCGTCCTCCAAATGTTCTCTGTATGCTGACTCAGATGGTGAAAATGGTAGCACATCAGACTCGGAGAGCAGCAGCACATCGGGCTCCACATCTTCCTCGTCTTCCTCATCCTCGTCTTCATCATCCTCTTCATCATCCGAGTCCTCCTCTGAAGAAGAGGAAGAAGAGGAACAGCCAACAACAGTTCCCTCCGCTTCACCGCCTCCCAGAGAAGCCCCAGCATCCCTCCCAGCGCCTGTGGAGGAGCCCGAGCCAGAGAGGACTACAGGCTCTCCAGCCACGCCTCTTCCTGAGCGGGAGACATCTCCGGCAAGGCCTGCAGGTAGGCAACTTGATGTGTGTGTCTCTGTCTGAAAGAACCTACATTCAGTAATGGTTTACCAGGGCGTGTGACTTTGCTGGAGAAACTCAAAGAGAAAAACGGCATGTTGTCCCTCTTGGAGACATTGCCTAACCCTCAATGAGAGGTTTAGCTACTATCAGAGTAAAACAAGATGGTCTCTGCCTGAGACCACTTGAGTTAACGAGAAAATGCCCAACTTAATAAATCCCTTCTCCTACTTCTCACTGTGTATTGTAATATGTAGGCAAATATTAACTCAGAACTTACTCAGTTCTGCCTTTGCTTTCTTTTGTAGATTTTTACGTTTTGCTTTTTTTTTTTTTTTTTTGTCAGTCGTGGGGCTTGAACTTACCACTTGCGCCACCACAGCATTGCTTCCAGTTTTCTGGAAGTTAATTGGAGATAAAAGTCTCACAGAGCCGGGCGCCAATGAGTGGCTCACATCTGTAATCCTAGCTACTCAGGAGGCTGAGATCTGAGGATCACAGTTCAAAGCCAGCCCGGGCAGGAAAGTCCGTGAGACTCTTCAGTAAACCACTAGAAAACCAGAAGCGGCGCTGTGGCTCAAGCGGTAGAGCGCTCGCCTTGAGCTGAAGAGTGCAGGGACGGCGCCCAAGCCCATAGTTCAAGCCCCATGGTCTCACAGGCTTTCCTCCCCGAACTGGCTTTGAACCTCGATCCTCAAATCTCAGCCTCCTGAGTAGCTAGGATTACAGGCGTGAGCCACTAGCACCTGGCCATTTTACTGTGTTTTTTTTTTTTTGTCAGTCATGGGGCTTGAACTCTGGGCCTGGGCGCTGTCCCTCTGCTCTTCAGCTCAAGGCGAGCGCTCTACCACTTGAGCTACAGCGCCACTTCCGGTTTTCTGGTGGTTTATTGGAGATAGGAGTCTCACGGTCTCTCCTGCCCGGGCTGGCTTTGAATCGCGATCCTCAGATCTCAGCCTCCTGAGTAGCTAGGATTACAGGCGTGAGCCACCAGCGCCCGGCCCAATTTACTGTTATTTCATAACATATCCATACAGATTCTCTTACTCTGGGAACTGTCTGTCCAGATAGTAGGTATTAGGATATATGTTGATAGGGTAAGGTTTCTGGGAGGCGCTGCTTTTCCACTCAGAAAGCTGTGGTCCATGAGGAGAGATGTGCTAAGTAAGTAGTAAGTACATAAGCAAGTCTATGATTGCAAACTGATAAGCACCACAAAGGAAAAATATGGGACATTCAGAACCTGCATGATCTGTGGAACTAGTAACAGCTTCCTGCTGAAGCGTAATGTGCTGAATCTAGGCAGAAATAGGCACAAAAAAACTTGAGTAGATACAAAGGCCATAAGGCCAGGGAATAGCAAGTAGACATAGAAGAGAGCTAACTTGGGGAATTGAGAGCAAGAAGTGGTATGTGACTGAAACTGGACGCGAGGGCATGGATCATGCCATGTAGAATGTGGAGACTTATTAGGAGTTTGGTCTTTTGTCTTGAGAGCAGTAGGAAGCCCTCAGAGAAGCAGTGATCACATTTGTGATTTGAAAGGTGCAGTGCAGAGAGGAGTTGGAGATGGGCCAAAGTGATATAGGGAGCGCATTAGGAAGATGGACAGGCAGGCAGGACTTCTGTGTCTTAGCAGTGTCTTGACTGTCCAAGGTGGGTAGAGGCACAAGAAGATCTAGTGCTGGTGCCTGCTGATCTAGGCCAGACCCCGCAGGATGAGTTGAGCCTTTCCTGAATCTGTCACGTAGTGCAAGGGCCTAGAAGGCCACAAGGCACTCAGAAGGTCATCAACTATAGCCTTCTGTTCTCTGTGGGACAGGAAAAGAAGAGGGACATGGTCACATATGCATTTCAGAAAGTCCATTCTGATAGGAGGAGAAGATTGTAAGTGGTCAGGGAAGAGGTAGGCTGGCATTAGAACATTTAAAGGAATGCATGAGCCAAACAAGATGGTTACAGTGAGATAGATGATCAAGTAGAAGTGGGATGAGCACAGGAGATGGTGAATTGTTCAATTACTCAGCAGGAAAGGAGACCCAGGACGGTGAACTGAGTCTAAGGAGAAAATGGCTGCATTCAGTTGGGGTTGAGTTGCAGATGCCCCAGGACCTCCAGTTAGAAACATGACTGTTAGATCACAGCTCATTGAAGCCCTGGGAGGAATAGGCTGGAAGGTAGATGTCTGTAGGCGGTGACTGTGCAGATAAGGAAAGAGGGTCTGGAGCCTGTGAGTCATTTTAGACAAGTGAGCAAAGGAACCCAGAGAGGCTAGAACAGAATTGGAAGTAGAGCATGGGTGGTGAGTTTTGAGCACCAAAGGGAGTGCAAGTTTTGTGGCTTCTGTGTGTATGTACATGCACACGCACGTGTCAGTCCTGGGGCTTGAACTCAGGGCCTGAGCACTGTCCCTGAATTTTTCTACTCAAGGTTAATGTTTTACCACTTGAGCTATAGCTCCACTTCCTACTTTTTGTGGTTAATTAGAGATAAAAGTCTCGTAGACTTTCCTGCCTGGGCTGGCTCCGAACCGCGATCCTCAGATCTCAGCCTCCTGAGTAGCTAGGATTACAGGGATGAGCCCCTGGTGCCTGGCTTTACTCCCTTTTAGAGATGAAGTGTTTGAAGCTTGTTGAGGTACAGGAATGTGCTTCAGGTTTCCTAACTAAGATTGAAAGCAAAGAAAGAATGTGGGGTTGATGGAAGGTTTAGCTTTTCAGAGTGGATGAGATCGGTGCATTCCTACACTCAAGGAAAGAAGGTGGACCAGGCAAGGGAGAGATTTTGATGGAGTAACATTCCTGGAGGGTACGGCCGGGCCTCTAGATGTGATGGGGAGGGATGGGTGCATCAGGAGGCAGGGAGCTATGGGCTTTTGTGCTTGAAGCTTTTGCCCTGAGCGGCAGGTACATGAGAGACAGCTAACGTAGAAACCTCCTTGCACAATGAGGGGAGTGGGAGGCCAGTGGGGAGGCTGCCTGGGCCTGCCAGCAGCACAGAAGTCCTGCCGAAACCCAGGCCTGGGAGGAGGTTCCAGTGGCAAGATGAGGATATGGAATACACAAAGTACTGTGAAAGGAGAAGACCCAGTGAGGGTCCTGGGGACAGGGCAGGAGAAATAGGGTAAGCCAGACATGGTGGTGCGCGACTGTAATCACAGAACTCGGGAGGCTGAGGCAGAAGGATCTCAAGTTTTGAGGCCAGCCTAGAGAGAGACTTTAAGATATACATACACACACACACACACACACACACACACACACACACACACACACACACACACACACACACACACACACATATATATGTATATATATGTATATATATATATTTATATATATGTATATGTATGTATGTATGTATTTTCTTTTGGAAGAAATTGAAGACAGTCCTTTGCTTTTTACCGAATGAGAAAACAGGAAGTGATGCTGTGGCTCAAGTGGTAGAGCAGTAGTTTTGAGCTGAAGAGTTCAGGAACAGTGCCCAGGCCCAGAATTCAAGCCCCATGACCAACAAAAAAGGGAAAAGAAAGGGGGAAAAAAAGAGAATGAGAAAACAAAGCAAGGAAACCTGAGTCACAAAGGGCTAGGTGGTCCTATGGTAGGAATCTGGGTAAAGGCTTCGAAGGGCAGCAGCCCACACTTAGCTCCCGACAAAGTATGGCTCTTGGTAGGAGGAACTCACTTAAAGGCTGAGTGTCTAGTGGCAGGAACCCATTTTAGCCAGATTAAGTATGGAAAGGGATTCACAGGGCTAGGTACCAGTGCACCCGTCTTTAATCCTAGCCACTCAGGAAGCTGAAATCTGAGGATCGTAGTACAGAGGCAACCTGCCCAGGAAAGCCAAGGAGACTCATCTCCAGTTACCCAGCAAAAAGCCAGAAGTAGAGCTGTGGCCCAAGTAGTAGAAGTAGTAGGGCATTAATTTTGAGCAAAAAAGCTTAAGAACAGTGCCCAGGCCCTGTGTTAAACCAGGACCTGCTCATGTACACACAGACACAAAAAGGGATATACAGGACATAGCCAGGTGCTAGAACCCAAAAGCAGGAACCAGAACATCCTTCATCTTTGCCTTATTCTGATCTGATGCATTATTTTCTCCTTGTGCAGATGGGATTCCTCTGCTTCTCTATTCAGCATAGGGTCACTGCCAAGTGGCAGACCTACCCATTCCTATCTTCATGGGCTTTGTTTTTGGTTGATTGTAGGGCTTAAACTCAGATCCTGGGCACTATCCTTGAACTTCTTTGCTTAAGGCTATTGCTCTACCACTCTGAGCCACAATTCTACTTCAGTTTTCTGGTAATTAATTGGAGGAGTCTCATGGACTTTCCTGCCTGAGCTGGCTTCGAACCACAATCCTCAGATCTCAGCCTCCTGAGTAGTATTACAAGGGTGAGCCACCAGCACCTGGCCCTGTCTTAGTTCTTATTACTAGAAAGTTTTTGATTGGGCTGGTTAGGTGACCATCTTAGTCCTGTCAGTTAGTGATGGCCCTGGGAAGAAAGGAGTAGCCCATGTAGTAGGAATTACCTTTTGGTGCCGTTGTAGATCCTAGGATGTTGAGAACAATTTTTCTCCTGGGGTGGGTGGGTGGTGAGGTAGTGCTGGAATGTGAACTCAAGACTTCTCACTTGCTAAGCAGGAACTCCTTATCCTTAGCACCTTTATGCCACACTTCCGTCGGTTGCTTTTTTGTTTTTTTTTGCCAGTCCTGGGGCTTGAAGTCAGGGCCTGGGCACTGTCCCTGAGCTTTTTACTCAAGGCTAGCATTCTACCACTTGAGCCACAGCCCACTTCTGGCTTTTTCTGTTCATGTGGTACTTAGGAATTGAACCCAGGGCCTCATGCATGCTAGGCAAGCACTTTATCACTGAGCTGCATTCCCAGCCCTCCAGAACATTTTTATGCAGTCTGGCCTTCAACTGCAATCCCAATGGGTCTCAACCTCCCAAGTAGCTAGGATTATGAGCATGAACCATTAGCCCCTGGCTCATTCATTGACAGGTGTATCTTCCGTGAATGGGGTGAGCAGGCAGGGAGTGAAGGGAAATTTGTGTGGAGAAGCTAAGTAGGGAGGGAAATTGATTCTGGCAGTTAGGAACATGCACAGTGGGAGAGGTGGTCCCAACATGGTAGAAAGGAGGTGAGAGGACTCGTAGCAAGCGATTAGATGGGCCTGGGCTGGGTGCCTGGGGCCTCACTGGCTTCCAAGTTTGGGCTGCTGCTGCCTGAGATTCCTGTGGTATCCAGAGCCTTGTACCCAGCAGCCTGCTCAGCTCAAGGTATTGGTTGAGACTGGACTGATTGATCACTGGCTGCCTGGCCTAGCCTGGGTTCTGGCTGCTGTTTAGTTTGAGTGGCAGCACCAGATGAGAAGTCACTAAGTTCGTAGAGGCCCAGGGCAGAACAGAGCAGCAGATAAGAGCATGAATTCCCAGTTACCTGAATGTTGTTGCTCTGCTACTTGCCAGGTGTGTGGCATTGGGCCAGTTATTTTTCTCTGTGCCTCAGTTTCCTCTGTGTGAGGTAGGATTGATAGGAGTACAGTGTGGATTCAGTGTACGTCAGGGACACACGCATGTGGCTGTTACTCGGCTGTGGCCAAAGCTAACTGTAAGATGCGAGCCACCAGCTTTCTGGAGAGCCAGCAAGGCTGGACAGTGGTGGTGGCCTTGAGCTGGAGTATCAGAGGGCAAAGGGGCAAAGAAACGCCATAGTCCTTGTCCTGGGGGCTGAGCTGGGGAGGTTAATGAGATTCAAAGCAGCACCCCTCAGAGACAGTGTGTCCCTTGTCTAATCTGCCACTCGTCCCTTAGATTTCAGCTTCCACCTTGGCCTCTTGATGCGCGGTGTCTTCTGCCCCCTCCCTACTAGGGCAAACCCCCAGTCATTCAGCTTTTTACATTGAGTCTTTTTCACCTCACTGCCCCCGGAGAATATTGTTACTGGGTAAAGTGGTGGATATTTTAGTTTAATCTGGCTAATTGGATCTTCAGAGAATTTGCAGTGGACAAAAAGTGGTCTTGGCCTGTGTTCCTAGCTGTCCCGTGTGAGTCTGTTTCTGCTAGTCTTGGTTTAAAAAAAAAAAAAAAAGGCCATTGAGTCTGGGTGCTTGTGAGGAGCCTTCCTCCACCATCTTCCAGCGGCTCCACATTTGATCTGAGTGGTCTTTTCCCGTTGGACTTGAGCTCTGTGAGGACATCAGAAGCATTTTTGTCCAGTAGTTGTCCCCATACCTGACATATTTGGGGTTCGATGGGCCTCTTGGCCAGATGGGTGTGTGCAGGTACAGCTTTCCATCCTGTCCAGGGAGCTTGAGGGCAGTGGGGGCTGGGGGTGGGGTGGGGGGCCGTGAGGCAGACACTGAAGGAAAATGTGTAGCCTATGGCTGCCCCGCCCCACCCAGGCCTCCTGGCCCTCGTGATCACGTCTAAGGTTGAGCCTGCCCGCTGACCCTCCTCCCTTTCCCGGTGTGCTTTCTTCCCCAGGTCCCACGGAGGAACCACCTCCCAGTGTGCCCCTGCCTCCCCCAGAGCCCCCAACAGGCCCCCCGGGCCCCACTCCCCGCCCGGATGAGCGCCCCTCTTCTCCTATTCCCCTCCTCCCCCCTCCCAAGAAGCGCCGGAAAACTGTTTCCTTCTCGGCCACCGAGGAGGTGCCGGCCCCAGAGCCTCCCCCAGCCGCCCCCCCACAAGCCAAGTCTCCCGGCCCAGTCTCCCGCAAAGTCCCCCGGGGTGTGGAGCGGACCATTCGCAACCTGCCCCTGGACCATGCGTCTCTGGTCAAGAGTTGGCCTGAGGAGGTATCCCGGGGGGGCCGGGGCCGGGCAGGAGGCCGCGGCCGGCCCGCCGAGGAAGAAGAGGCTGAGCCAGGGACGGAAGTAGACCTGGCCGTGCTGGCCGACCTGGCCCTGACGCCCGCCCGGCGCGGCCTGGCCGCCTTGCCTCCCGGGGACGACTCGGAGGCCACAGAGACGTCCGATGAGGCAGAGCGCTCCAGCCCCCTGCTCAGCCACATCCTCCTGGAGCACAACTACGCCCTGGCTGTGAAGCCCACCCCTGCCGTGCCGGCCCCCCGGCCCCCGGAGCCAGTGCCTGCCCCTGCCGCGCTCTTCAGCTCCCCCGCCGACGAGGTCCTGGAGGCCCCCGAGGTGGTGGTGGCTGAGGCAGAGGAGCCAAAGCAGCAGCCACAGCTGCAGCAGCAGTCAGAGGAGAGGGAGGAAGAGGAGGAGGAGGAGGAGGAGTCCGAGTCCTCAGAGAGCAGCAGCAGCAGCAGCAGCAGCGATGGCGAGGGCGCCGTGCGGCGGCGCAGCCTGCGCTCCCACGCCCGGCGCCGCCGGCCGCCGCTGCCCCCGCCCCCGCCGCCGCCCCCGTCCTTCGAGCCCCGCAGCGAGTTCGAGCAGATGACCATCCTCTATGATATTTGGAACTCAGGCCTGGACTTGGAAGACATGAGCTACCTGCGGCTCACCTACGAGCGGCTGCTGCAGCAGACAAGCGGGGCTGACTGGCTGAACGACACCCACTGGGTCCATCACACGAATATCCTGAGCCCCAGAATGTGGCCTTCCTGTACAGGAAAGCAACCACGGGCTGCGGCGAGGGGGGGGGGGAACCTCCTCATTAGCAGGGTGGGCCGTCCTTCACGGGTCTTGCCTGGCACTGCGCTCACTTCCCTCTCCAGCTATGGGCCTCAATGCGCTGCATCTAGCCGGAGGTCTCTCCTCTGGCTGCCCAGCCTGCCTCTCTCTGCTTCGTGCCTTTTGTGCCTCAGTTTTCCTGGCAGAAGAGGCGGGGTCTGAGTGGACTCCTCCCACTTGCTGCCCCCCTGCATCAGACATGCTTAGCTACTCCCACCAACACCTTCTCCTTGCGCTGGGGCTGAGGTGGCTAGACAGGAGCGGGCCCCAGGGAACCACCTGTTCTCTTCCTTAACGCCCTGCACTCACCAACCTGAACACTCCAAAGCGCAAGCGGCGGCCCCAGGATGGGCCCCGAGAGCACCAGACCGGCTCGGCGCGCAGCGAGGGCTACTACCCCATCAGCAAGAGGGAGAAGGACAAGTACCTGGATGTGTGCCCCGTCTCAGCTCGGCAGCTGGAAGGCGTGGACACTCAGGTGGGGCCCTGCCCTAACTCCAGGCCCATCCCATGGGGTCTTTCTCCTCCCCCCCCCTTCCCTCCATCACTCACCTCCTCCCTATCCTGCTGCTCACAGGGGACTAACCGTGTGCTTTCCGAGCGCCGCTCTGAACAGCGGCGGCTGCTCAGTGCCATCGGCACCTCGGCCATCATGGACAGTGATCTGCTAAAGCTCAACCAGCTCAAGGTAAGGAGTGGGACCTGGGCCCAGGAGGAGGCACTGCTCCTAAGGGAGGGGGGAACCAATCCTGAGCCCCCCATGGTGGGTGGCAAGATGGGAGGCCTCTAGCAGTACTGTCTGCTCTCTGTCCCCAGTTCCGAAAGAAGAAGCTCCGCTTTGGCCGGAGCCGGATCCATGAGTGGGGTCTGTTTGCCATGGAGCCCATTGCAGCTGACGAGATGGTCATCGAGTACGTGGGCCAGAACATCCGCCAGGTGAGGCCACGCTGTGTGGCAGGCAGGCTAGTTCCCATGAAGCCAATCAGCCCTCACCAGCCTCACCAGCTCCAGGACTTAGCCAGTGAAACCGGTGTCCTTACAATAATAGGTACCCAGCACCCAGATATTAGTAGTCTAGCAGCAAACATGATCGAGACTTTCCCTTTAAAAACTTGGGAATTTCTGGGCGCTGGTGGCTCACACCTATAATCCTAGCTACTCGGGAGGCTGAGATCTGAGGATTGAGGTCCAAAGCCCAGGTGGGAAAGTACATGAGACTCACCTAAGATAGGAGGTTGAAAGCCAGCCCAGGCGGAAGAGTCTGTGAGATTGTTCTCTCCAACCAACTACCAAAATCCTCAAAGTGTGAAGTGGTAGAGGTGATCTTGAGCAAAAAAAAAAAACTAAGGACAGTTCCCCGGGCTGGCTGGAGTTCAAGCCCTAATACCGGGACACACACCCTCCCACCCAAAACAACAACAACAATAACCACCACAACAACAAAACCAGGGGGAATGAGGGAACATTGGCAAGTAATAGAAGAAAAGAATGGTGCTTGACAACAGGTTTGGCACACCAAGATGGTATCTTAGCTGCATGAGGAGGAGGATTTTCCAGGCCTTGGGACAGGAATGTGCTCCTGATTTTGGAAAAACATATCCTAAGGTTTGACAGTAGTGTGGTCCTAGGAGGGCAAGGGGGTTGGTTAGTTAGCATGTCAGAGAGCTGAAGGTCCATGGTGGTGCTGTGCAGGGTGGGGGCGCCTCCTTTCTCCATGGATCCATATTGAAGCTACGCCGCAGAGGGCTTTGGGAGTTAAACCTGGCTTTGCTGTGAGGAGTGCACTAGTTAGCTAGTGCTTGAACACTGGTACCAGTGCCTGGCTGTGGCAGAAATCCAGGTAAGGTAAGGGTGGTCTGGCCTGTGCAGCAGAGGCGACAGGAGTTTGGCGTCTGGGTAGCTAGCCAGTGAGCTGACTGGAGGGTGAAGGATGAAGGAGTTGAGTCCCTTTCTCAGGCTGCCATTCGCCGCTAGGAGTCCGAAGCCCAGTGAGATGGGCATAAGACGATGAAGAGGACAGGGCAGCCCTGTGGGTTGTAGGCGCCGCACATCCAGGCATGACGCCCAGCAGCTCCAGTGAGGTGGCCTTTGGCCACAGATGGAGATTTGGGAGGAGCTGACTGGCAGCCAGAGCTCTGGAAGGGGTGAGGTCACCCACGGAAAAAGGCAGAACACTCTTGGTCCTTTTTTTTTTTTTTTATGCCAGTCCCAGGGCTTGAACTCAGGACCTGGGCTCTGTCCTTGAGCTTCTTTTGCTCAAGGCTAGCACTGTTACCACTTGCCACAGTGCCACTTTTGGCTTTTTCTGTGTATGTGGTACTGAGGAATGGAACCCAGGGCTTCATGCATGATAGATAAGCACTCTACCACTGAGCCACCTTCCCAGCCCATGGTTCTATTTCTTCCACAAAGCCAGGGATCCTGATGTGCATGACCTGCACTGCCCCAGCCAGCTGCCCAAAGGGGCCTGCTTGGGGGAGGATTGTAGGAGAGGAGATGAATCAGGGTTCTGTTCGTGAAGTGACACTGTCATTCACAAACTGCGCCAGTCCCACAGCCGATGGAGGTTCTACAGCCACCAGGCAGGCGCTCTAGGAGAGGCCACTTCTGTTTTGTCTGGAGTCCTCTTGCCAGTACCTTAGGCGGAGGCCAGCTGCAGGCCCAGCCTGCTCATGTAGACCCTAGAGCCCGCAGCCTCTCTGCAGGGGCTGTGGGGTCTGGCCTAGGTCCATGTGGAAACTGAGGCGGGAAATTCAAGACTTCTGTGCCTCTCGCCCTCCCAGATGGTGGCGGACATGCGGGAGAAGCGCTATGTGCAGGAGGGCATCGGCAGCAGCTATCTGTTCCGTGTGGACCATGACACCATCATTGATGCCACCAAATGTGGTAACCTGGCCAGGTTCATCAACCACTGCTGCACGGTGCGCTGGGGATCGGGCTGGGGGGGGCGCAGAGGGGGGCAAGGGGGGGAGAAGGGCAGCCACCACTCACACCTCCGCTCCTGCAGCCCAACTGCTACGCCAAGGTGATCACCATCGAGTCTCAGAAGAAGATCGTGATTTACTCGAAGCAGCCCATCGGCGTGGATGAGGAGATCACCTATGACTACAAGTTCCCGCTGGAGGACAACAAGATCCCGTGTCTGTGCGGCACTGAGAGCTGCCGGGGCTCCCTCAACTGAGGTGGGCAGGACTGGTGCCCACACCCCTATTTATTCCCCCTTGGTGCCCTGAGCTCCCAGCACCCCAGCCTTAGTGGGCTCCGCAGGGCCCACCTGCCCCCCGTGTCCGTCCACATGTGGGGGTTATGGGCCCCGAGCCCAGCAAGGGAGCCTCAGTTCCTCCCTCCCTGCCACCCCTGCCCACCCTCCCAGGCCCCTCATTTTTTTTCTTTGCGGAGAAGAAGCTGTAAATGTTTTGTAGCTGCCAGCAGCTGTTTCCTGTGGAAACCTGGGGTGCCGGCCTGTACAGATCCTGTTCTTGGGGGCTGCACAGCTCTCATGCTTCGTGTTAATGGGGACTTCCCCTTGTGCCCTGCGTGCACCCCTCCCCAGTTTCGGGGTCTCTAGGGGCAGTGGCCATGTTCTCCCCGGGGGGGGCCCTGTGGCCCCCTTCCTGGGGACTCCGTGCCTGCAACCCTGCCTCATCTTCTGTTCCTGCCAGACCCTGTGGGTTACCCTCCCACCCTGGCTTCTGGGGGCTCCGGCTCAGCCAGGCCAGGATGGTGGGGGGTGGGCCCTTCTTGTTGGGCTGGATTGTACATATGTTAATAGCGCAAACCCAACGCCACATTTTTATAATTGTGATTAAACTTTATTGTACAAAAAGGCCTCTGTCGTTATCTTTGGGGTGGGGATGGGGGTTGAGGACATGGCGGGTCAAGAAAAGGAGGGAAAATGGGTGGTCTCATTTGCAGTGGGTAGGAGGAGCCCACAGGCAAGAGCCCAGATTTGCAGACCAACACCACTGCTTTGGACGCATCACCTGACAGGCTGTAACAGCCATGCCAGGAATCCCCCACCAAGGCCAGCCAGAGTTGGGCCAAGGTCAGGCCTTCCTTCCCTTCCCAACACCACAGCTGCTGCTGGGCCTTCAGCCCCTTGGGAAATCTAGCAGGAGGGAAGAACTGAGGTCATGCAGCGGGAATGAGGTCGCCCTGCTGCCTTCATCCTGTGACCCCCAAATCCTCCAGCACCCCACCCAGCAGGCTCTGGCTCCCATCCTCAGAGAGCTCTGGGTCCACGAGGGGGCGCCCTGTGGCAGGGAGTGTGGGGAAGAAGGGGTGGAGGCTGGACTGAGGGACGTTCCTGGAATGGGTCCGGAGGGAGGAGGAGCAAGCGGAAGGAAGCCGGTGTGACTGGCTGGCCGGCCCAGGAGACAGCTCCCTCCCAGTGACCACTTTGGGTTCCCTGGGACAGTGGCCACAGGTACATAGAGCTAATACCAAGGCTCCCCTTGGTCATTCCTCTCTTTCCTCCCCTCCTCCAGCTGTCTGCCTCCCCCGTCCCCACCCTCCTTTTCTACCACAAACCTTTCTCAGCTACTTTGATCCTGTGAGCAGTGGGTGGGATCGGAGGTCCCATTCAGCCTCTACCCGAATAGGTGAAGGCTGCAGGAACAGCTCTGTCTCCTCCTCTCTGCCCAAATTGCTGTGCTCTTGTCCTCTAGACCACCTGGCCCCTTCTCGAAATCCACGTGGCTGAGGCAGCTGACAATTACAGGTGAGCCAGACTCCGCCTCTGGGCATGGCAGAATCTGCACAGGCCCCGAAGCTGGTGTACCTGGTCACAGGTGGCTGTGGTTTCCTGGGGGAACATGTAGTGCGCATGCTGCTGGAACGGGAGCCAAAGCTCCGTGAGCTGCGGATCTTTGACCTGCACCTGAGTCCATGGCTGGAGGAGCTGAAGACAGGTGATTTGGGGGGGCGGGGGGGGGGGCGGTTGAAGGGAGGAGGATGTTTCCCCCATTCCCTCCTAAGCCGGGATGCACCCAACCCCTTGGTGGAAAAGATGATAGCTGTTTACATTTTCCAGTCTACAAGTCTGGGATATATGAGTCATATTGGGAAGTTGTAGCTCCAAGGGTGTTGACCAAAGCCAGCTGATGGCGCCCAGCTGACTTTGCCTTTGCCTTCTCCACCAGGGCCTGTGCAGGTGACTGCTATCCAGGGAGATGTAACCCAGGCCCATGAGGTGGCAGCAGCCGTGGCTGGAGCCCATGTGGTCATCCACACTGCTAGTCTAGTGGACGTGTTTGGGAGGGCCAGTCCCAAAACCATCCACGAGGTCAACGTGCAGGGTGAGATGAACCCTGTGTGGCTCTCACATGTGACATTTGGCCTGTTTGTTCTCCGCCCTCTGACTGTTGACCTCTTGTGATTCTCCTGGGACAACGAGTCCTGTTGATCTAATCCTGCCTCCCGTTACTCCATCCCACCTGCCCCAGCCTGGATGGTTCTCTTTAGATCTGGGATTGGGTAGGGAAAGATGCCGAGGGCGGAGCCACAGCTGGGCTGCATCCCCTCCTCCCACAGGCACGATGAACGTGATCGAGGCTTGTGTGCAGGCTGGAACGCAGTTCCTGGTCTACACAAGTAGCATGGAAGTTGTGGGGCCTAACTTCAAAGGTCATCCCTTCTACAGGTGAGCTGAGGACACCCCCCACCCCACTTTAAAAGCCCATGTCTAGCTGGGTGCCAGCAGCTCATGCCTGTAATCCTAGCTACTCAGGAGGCTGAGATCTAAGGATTGTGATTCAAAGCTAGTCTGGGCAGAAAAGTCTGTGACTCTTCATCTCCAATCAACTTGCAGCAAAAAGCTCAAAGTGGAGGTGTGGCTCAAGTGGTAGAGCACCATCCTTGAGTGGGGAAAAACTCAAGAATGGTGCCCAGGCCCCGAGTTCAAACCTCAACATACATGAACATACACAAAAAGCCCTTTTGCTTTCCATTTTTCCTTCCCCCGTTAGGGGCAATGAGGACACCCCATACGAGGCAGCACACACACACCCCTATCCTTGCAGTAAGGCCTTTGCGGAGCGGCTGGTCCTGGAGGCCAACGGAAGGAAGGTGAGACCTTGAGATACCACTTTAAATTGCTGCCAGGCAGAGCCTGCCCCCAGACTTGTGTCCATCGTGGGGTTCAGAGAGGGAGCCCGGCCCTAGGTCCTAACCATTTCTTTCTTTTGTCGGTTGTGGGCCTGAACTCTGGGCCTGGGTGCTGTCCCTCAGCTCTTCAGCTCAAGGCTATGCTCTACCACTTGAGCCACAGCGCCACTTTGGGCTTTTTCTGCTTATATGGTGCTGAGGAATCAAACCCAGGGCCTCAGGCATGCAAGACAAGCACTCTTACCACTGAGCCACCTTCCAAGGCCTGGTCCTGACCGTTTCTGACTTTTGTCCCCAGGTCCGTGGAGGGATGCCTCTAGTGACGTGTGCTCTGCGTCCCACGGGCATCTACGGTGAAGGCCATCAGATCATGAGGGATTTCTATCATCAGGGCCTGCGCCTGGGGGGTCGGCTCTTCAGGACCATCCCAGCCTCTGTGGAACATGGCCGGGTCTATGTGGGTAAGGAGTAGGCTCAGCAGCTTGTGTGTTTCTGTGTGAGTATGTGTGTTCATGTTCATGTACTGGGGCTTCAACAGAGGGCTTGGATACTGTCCCTAAGCTTTTCTGCTCAAAGCATTCTGGCACTTAAGCCATACCTCCATTTCCAGCTTTTGCTGGTGAACTGGGGGTGGGGGGTGGGGTGGGCAGGAAAGCTGGTTAATTCAAGAGTCACAAACTTTTCTGTCTCGGCTGGCTTGGAACTGCAACCTTCAGATCTCAGCCTCCTGAGTAGCTAGGATTACAAGTATGAGCCATCAGCACCTGGCTGGGCTTAGCAGGTTGGTTTTGTTATTGCTGTGTGCTAGTCCGGGGGCTTGAACTCAGGGCCTTGCTGCTGTCCTTTTTTGCTCTAGGCTAGCACTCTAGAGCTTGAGCCACAGCTCCACTTCTGGCTTTTTGGTTGGTTAAATGGAGATAAGAATGTCTCATGTATTTTCCTGCCGGAGGGGCTCAGCAGTTTATGAGACTCTAAGAACAATGCAGAAAAACCTGCTCTGGAAATGGACAGGAATCATGGGTTCTAAAAGGAACAGTGTGTATCCTGGCTGGGGGGGGGGGGGGGGGGAAGAGTAGTAGATCATGATTATGGGATGTCATCTGCTTGGGCCACAGAGGAAAGAGGATCTATCTAGGTTGGGAAGACTGACATAAAAAGCCATAGACTGGGAATGTGGCTCAGTGGTAGAGTGCTTGCCTAGCATGCATGAAGCCCTGGGTTCCATTCCTCAGTACCACATACACAGAAAAAGCCAGAAGTGGTGCTGTGGTATAAGTAGTAGAGTGCTAACCTTAAACACATAGAGGCTCAGGGACAGAGTCCAGGCCCTGAGTTCAAGCCCCAGGACTAGCAAAAAAAAAAACCCAAAACGCCCCCCAAAAAGCCTACCATAGGCTAGAACAGAGACAAATGCAACCCAGGGACCTGAGCACAGTTCTAGGTTGCCTTAGAGAACAAGTAGCTTCAAAGGCTGGGAGGGAGGGCAGGGGAGGGCAAAGCAGCCTCTTCCAGGCCATGGCACGAGGTGGACAGGATCTCAGCAATACTGCATGGACTGATCCAGGAGAGCAATGTCCACGCAGTGGCAGGGCACATCAATAGTCACGGTGCCACCCCATCCCTATTCCCATTGGCAGGCAATGTGGCGTGGATGCACGTCCTGGTTGCCCGAGAACTACCGCCAAGAGCCCCACTCATGGGTGGCCAAGTCTATTTCTGCTATGACAAGTCACCCTATAAGAGCTACGAGGACTTCAACATGGAATTCCTGGGCCCCTGTGGACTGCGGCTGGTAGGCACCCGCCCACTGTTGCCTTATTGGCTGCTCTTCATCTTGGCCACCCTCAACGCCCTGCTCCAGTACCTTCTGCGCCCACTGTTGCTGTACGCACCCCTGTTGAACCCCTACACGCTGGCTGTGGCCAACACCACCTTCACTGTCAGCACCAACAAGGCACAGCGCCATTTTGGCTATGAGCCTTTGTTCTCATGGGAAGATAGCCGGAGACGCACCATTCGCTGGGTGCAAGCCATAAAGGGTTCAGTTCAATGACAGCAGGTCTGGGCTCTCACGTTCTGTCCACCTGAGTCCTCACGTGGATGGAGGGAGTGGCTGTGTTACAGGAGCTGAGGGCCCTGGTACGGGACTGGCCAACACGGAGTCCTCTCTCTGCAGTGGAAGACCACGAGGCTGCCAGGAGTCTGTACTTTGCTACCTCTGAGTTCTAGGACAGGGCTGGGGACACACAGCATCTTCCCTCTTGGCCTAGGCTTGCTGGGTGGTTGGCAGGGAACTGGATCCTAAATGATCTCATGACTCCCTCTCAAGTGTGGCTTTCTGAGCAGAAAATGGCTGAGGTTCCACAGGCTTTGTGCTGATCTTCTGACATCTAGGTGCCATCTTTAGGCTTGGATACAGAGTGAAAAGGATACTTTGTCCCTCTCAGGAAGATTATAGTCCCCTTATTTTTGAAATGATCACCTTTAGATTTTTTTTTTTACAAAGGCCCCTCATAGAAAAGCTAGGGAAATGAGTATATTACTCTTTTCTTCTTTTTTTTTTTTTTTGGGTCCAGTCGTGGGGCCTGAACTCTGGTCCTGGGCACTGTCCCTCAGCTCTTCAGCTCAAGGCTAGCGCTCTACCACTTTGAGCCAAAGCGCCACTTCCAGCTTTTTGCTTATGTGGTGCTGAGGAATTGAACCCAGGGCCTCATGCATGCAAGGCAAGCGCTCTACCACTGAGCCACCTTCCCAGCACCTCTTTTCTTTCTTTCTTTTCCTTCCTTTCTTTCTTTTTTCTGTGTGTTTGCCAACACTGAGGCTTGGACTTTGGACCTAGGCACCATCCCTTAGTCTTTTTGCTCCAGGCTAGCACTCTACCAATTGAGTCATATGAGTCATACCTCTAGTTGTAATCGATGCCTCTTCACCTAAATGCAGCTTTTGCAATCATGTTAGCAGTCTGCCCGCAGGGTTCCAGTAGTGCTGTACCTAGCCATGGGCTGGATTAAAATCCTTTTCCAAGCACGTGTCCATCTGTCAGTCCAGCTCCTCTGTCTGCCCACCCTTCCCCACGGCGGCGTGGCCCGGGTGGGGACCAAAGGAAGTGAGCACACGGCAGGCCCGCTGTTGGATTGGTTGCTATTTCTCCCGTCCCAGGGGGCCCAACCCGGCCCAGGGTGGGGTTGGGGGGTGGGGCTCTGGGGACAGGACATGCAGGGCTGGGTGGGGGGGCAGAATTTCCTGTATTTGATCCATTTGCAACTTGGTCACCAATAGAGAGAAATGAGACTGAGGGCTAACACAAGAGGGTGGCCAGGCCCTGGGCCCCCAGCCAGGCCCTAGGAGTCCTGTCCCCTCCAGGGAGGGGGAGGGGAGTGGGGAAAGAGCTCTAGAAACCCAATAGAGAAACAGAGAAAGGGGGCAAAGGGCTCATATCAGCAAACACGGCTACATCACGTGACACGCCAGCGACACAGAAACACACGCCAACGCACACGGCTGCACAGCAGGGCAAAGGGGCGGGTGTTGGCGGGAAGAAGGGAGCCGGGGAGGGGCACCCATCTTGTCCTCTGCAGGGCGGGCTGGTGGGAGGGGGAGGGCAGGGTGAATGCATAGAACACATTATATGGACACGCTCAAGGCGTGGCGAGAGCGTGCATCGCCCCCACGGGCTCATGGGATGGACACGCAGTGTGCTTTGTGAGAGGCAAGGGGGGGGAGCAGGAGCTCTGGCCAGGCTGGACCACCCCTGGGGCACACATGGGCTGGATGGCTGGGGGTGCATGGAGGATGGGCAACACATACTTGTCTGGGGAACATGCGTAAGACACCACTCTAGGACACAGGTGATACACGGCGCCACCAAGCAAGCCCACGACACAGCCCCTCAGCCCCTTAGCCACTTGAGGAGCAGAGGTGGCCGACTATCGGCCTGATGCTACTCAAGAATGACAGGAGCTTCCAAAACACCTGGGCCTGGTAGCAGGGAGGAAGGAAGGGGCTGGATGCTAGGGCCTGCTCTGATGTCTCCAAAGATGAGGGCAGGAAAGCTTGCAGTCAGACTCCAGGTGGACTTCCTGTCCTGCAGAAGGGTGTTCTAGGAATGGACAGCAGGTTCATCTTCTCAAGTCAGGCGACCTGGGGGCTACATACAGGTGGCCACACTGACACACACAGGCCAAAGTGGGCAGGATCCAGCCAGCCAGCCAGGGGAAGAGATTGGCTGTCTGATTGGCTGAGATTGACCCTAGGAAGTCACATTTGTATGGTCTTTCTCGCACCCACACACACATACGTACATATATACATGCACACGCACTTCACATGATGTGGGAATCTGGTGGGAAGGGCCTGCACACACACCCCAAGTTCATTATTCAGCCCACACGCATGCTCATACTCAGGGCAAGGCACACTGTGTACCTATGTGTTCATTCTACGTGTTCCAGGCCCATGGGGGTGGTCTTGTGTGTGTGTGTGTGTGTGTGTGTGTGTGTGTGTGTGTGTGTGTGTACTGACACTGGGGCTTGACCTCCAGGCTCAGGTGACATCCCTTAGCATTTTTTCCCCCTCAAGGTTGGAGGCTCTCTTACTTGATCCACAGCTCCACTTCCGGTTTTCTGGTGGTACATTGGAGATAAAAGTCTCACAGACTTCCAAGTGGCTTTGAACTGCGATCCTCAGCTCTCAGCCTCCTGACTAGCTAGGATGATAGGCATGTGTCATTGGTGCCTGGCAGCAGGGGGTGGTCCTAACACTGTCCTTTCTCCCATGTACCTCAAATCTGCCAGCACAGACAATCCACAAGCTATGTGTGTGCTACCTATAAACACACGCATGACCCTCCCCACCCCCTCTTCGCTTACCATCAGAGGCTGGGCCTGCATCCCATCCTCCAGTGACAACCCTGATTTCTCCTAGGTGCTGGCAGGCTGGAGGTAGGACGGGAGAGCTCCCCAGCAATAGGTCAGTGTTCCCACCAGGAGACCATAACACAGGCACTTTGCCATGGCGGGCTTGAGTATCCTCGAGTGTGAGTGTGAGTGTGTGTGTGTGTGTGTTTGCCTGGCTGGGGACACCTCTGAGGGACCGCCTCAGCCTTGTCACCTGTGAGCACCCAGAGATGTGCCAGCTGCCACAGGCTCCAGCCTGTCCTTGGGCAGAGACCCAGAGAAAGATAAAGGTCTGGGCCCGCGTGCCCAGGAGCCCTGAGGTCGCAGGGCAGGAAGCTACCATTGCACAATGTTTCATGCGGCTGTGTGGAAGGCCATACCAGATAATGGTCAGCGGCGATGAGGACAGAGGAAGGGACAAATCAACCCAAAGAAGCCATCCTGGACTGGGCATGTTCTAGAGAAATGTATCTGTGAGTGTATGTGTGTGTGTTTCACTAGGCAGAAAGCCCCTTACCATACACACGTGAGCATGCGCACACATGCTCACGCAGCTGTACTCTAGGTAGCAGAGAAATAACGGGCATCTGGAAGTGGCGCTGTGGCTCAAGTGGTAGAGCGCTCGCTGAAGAGCTGCAGAGCTGAGGGACAGCGCCCAGGCCCAGAGTTCAGGCCCCACGACCGACAAAAATAAATAAAGGCATCTGTGCCCACGCAAAACCAATGTGTAATCCAGTGGGAGGGGGCTCCTGTCAACACTTGGGGCATGCGCACACAGGCACACACACTCTCCTGCCCTTCTCCAGGACATGGAGTAATTCCCCATGTGGGGGTGGGAGGGGTGCCACAGCCTTCGTCTCTGAGCCTCCCTGACTCCTCGGAGGACGTGGACATGTGTGCACACATTTCCCGCCCCATTCACAACACACAAGGGCGGAGATGGAAGGATGGCTGTTGTCATCAAACACAAAATGCCCACAGATCTATGACAACACACACACACACAACACACACACACACACCTATGTATGGAAAAAGGGGGGGGGGGTCGCTGCATGGTTAAACTCGGCCAATCTACCTGGCAACCAGGGTGGAGAGAGGAGACTGGAGGTAGGGGGAGGGGAGAGGTGTGATCTGGTGGGGGGAGGGGTCTACACACACATCTACACATGTACACACACGCTGGGGTGTCCACACGTCTCAAGCATGTGCCGGCGGCATGCATGTTGGTGTGCATGTGTGATCACGCCTGCTGCTATCTACGTGCGGGGTGGGCAGGGTGGGGTGGGGGACAGTCCATGGCAGGGGAGGTCTGCCTGGGGAGTGGAGGGGGGTGGGGCTGCCTGGGTCTGTTTTCAGGGAGAGCTTGGAGCAGGGGGATGGAGTGGGAAGGTGGGGGGGGTATTGCTCCCGATATGAAGGGGGGAGGATCTGGGAGAGAGAAGGGCAGGGGGACTACAAGCCCAGCGTCCCCCCAATGGATGACGCCAAGACCACCCCCAGCACCACACAGCAAATGATGATCATGATTTTCTTCTGCAGACAGAAAGAGAGATGAGACAGAGACAGAGTGATGGAGAGAGAGGGCAAGACAAACCGACAGACCAACAGATGGGGAGAGATAGGGGTGTGGGGTGTAAGAAAAAAAGAAGGGAGGGAAAACAGAAAAACAGAGTCAGAGGCAGAGATAAGGCCTGCTCCCAACTGTATCACCACCGCAGCCCTGGCCTACTCCCAGCCCCGCCCACCGTCTTCCTGGCTGGCCCCCAAACCCCATCCGGCCATGAGAGTACCCCCTGCTCACCCTCCGGGCCTTGCTCTGATATTTCACAGCTTTCTTGGTGTCAGACACGGCTCGCTCTACATAGTCCACGGAATGTTCCACGTTGTACTCGATACGGTCAATCATCTCTCCCTGGAGACAGAGGTGCATGAGGCCTAGATCTGGCAGTCTGATGGAGGCTGGATGGGGTTGGTCGCGCCCCCCCCCCCCCCCCCCCGCCGTGGAGTGGCAGAGCCCACGTACCTGGCTTTCCACGAGCATCGCCATGTCCACAAACATGTCGTGCAGCTCTCGGATGCTGGTTTCCAGTTTGATGATCTCATTGTGTCTCGTCTCGATCTCATTTAGGGCCTGCTTTGTCATCTGGGAGTCCATTTTGATCTAGGATGATGAAGCAGAGAGTAAGGGCTGTGTCTTCAGCCGTCAGTGTGTCCGGATTCAAATCCTGGTGTCCTTTCCTAGCAAAATTTGGAACCACTCTAGGACTCCGTTTGCCCCTCCCTCCCCCAATAGAAAATTCAAGACCCTAGCAGGGTCCATCTCAAGTGCTATAGTGAAAAATCACAGGAGGCTGGGAATGTGGCTTAGTGGTAGTGTTTGCTTAGCATGCACTGGGTTCGACTTCTCAGTACCATATACACAGAAAAAGCTGGACGTGATGATGTGGCTCAAGTGGTAGAGTGCTAGCCTTGAGCATAAAGAAGCTCAGGGACCATGCCCAGGCCCTGAGTTCAAGCCCCAGGACTGGCAAAAAGAAAAAAAAAATCATACCAGTTTGGAAGAACGCCTGGTAATAAAGGGAAGTTTGCTAAATTACAGGAAATGAAACTTGGCGGGAACCCACCACCTCTGTCTGCCCCAGGACAGCTAGCACACACACCAGGGAAGCTCAGGACAGAGAGATGGGCAGAGGCAGACGGGGCGGTGGAGGGGACACTGCAGGTGGGAAAGGAGCAAGCTAAGGAGACTCAGAAGAGAAGGTCATGTGCCCACAAGTCACCCAGAGCCTGCATGAGATGAGGCAGGAGATAAAAATCACCACTCAACTCACAGTCGGATCCCTCAGACCCCAGACTCCTGGCCTGACCCAGGCATTCACATCCTATTCACTCTAAAGCCGCCAGGACTCGCCATTATTACAGGCTTCACACCTTTGACAATCGATGTAACACTGGGCCATTCTTCCTTTCTTTTTTTTTTTTTTTGGGGGGGGGTCGGTCGTGGGGCTTGAACCCTGGGCCTGGGAGCTGTCCTCAACTCTTTAGCTCAAGGCAAGCGCTCTACCACTTGAGCCACTGCGCCACTTCCAGTTTTCTGGTGGTGAATTGGAGATGAGAATCTCATGGACTTTTCTGCCCAGGCTGGCTTTGAACCTCGATCCTCAGATTTCAGCCTCCTGAGTAGTTAGGATTATAGGCGTGAGCCACAGACACCTTTCTTCCTTCCTTTCTTCCTTTCTTTCTTTCCTTTCTTTCTTTCTTTCATTGTGAGGCAGGTCTTGGGGCTTGAACTCAGGGCCTGGATACTGTCCCTGAGATTTTGTGCTCAGAGCTATGTCTCTACTTCTGGCTTTTTGGTGGTTAATTGGACATAGGAGTCTCACAAACTTTCCTGCCCGGGCTGGCTTTGAACTGTGATCCTCAGATCTTAGCCTCCTGAGTAGTTAGGATTACAGGGGTGTGCCACCAGCATTCAGATTCCTGTCATTTTTACACGTAGACAGCGTGGAGAGAGCTATTTGAGGGTGAAGGACGCCTCTCCTCAGAGATGAATTTGACCAAAGTTAATTCAACAAAGATCAATTATTCAAACAGCAATTTACTGAGATCTATTAAACAATCACAGTACATCCTTTTTTTTTTGGTGCTAGTACTGGGGCTTACGCTTGGTGCCAGCTCAAGGCTAATGCTCCATCGCTTGAGCCACACCTCTACTTCTGGCTTGTGCTGGTTAATAGGAAACAAGGGTCTCATGGATTATTTGGCCCAGGCTGGCTTTGGACCTGGATCTTCAGATCTCAGCCCCTGAATAGCTAAGATTTAAGTATGATTCACTAGTGCCTGGCTTCACAGTGTTGTTGTTTTTTTGTCAGTTGTGGGGCTTGAACTCTGGGCCTGAGCGCTGTCCTTCATCTCTACCACTTGAGCTACAGCACCACTTCCGACTTTCCTGCCCAGGCTGGTTTTGAACGGTGATCCTCAGATCTCAGCCTCTTGAGTATCTAGGATTAAAGATGTGAGCCACCTGGCTCACCCACCCCTTTTTGTTGGTTAACTGGAATTAATAGTCTCATCGACTTTCCTGCTTGGGCTGGCTTTAAACCACGATCCTCAGATCTCAGCCTCTTGAGTAAAGGATTACAGGTGTGAGCCACCAGTGTTTGGCTTCACAGTGTGTACTTTAAATCTAGTCTAGAACCATTATTCAGAATCACTAAGCCCCCAGAAGCAAAAACAAAGACAGAACTGAATAGGCCAGGGCAAAAGTCCGTTAGGAGAGAGAAGAACTTAGGTTAAGAAAGACCCATCCATTCACATAGAAAAAGATAGGGCAAGGCAGTGAGCAATTCTTAAGCAAAACATATATATGTGTGTGTGTGTGTGTGTGTGTTTATCCATTGTGGGACTGGGTGCTGTCCCTCAGCTCTTCAGCTCAGGGCGAGAGCTCTTGAGCCACAGTGCCACTTCCGGTTTTTCTGGTGGTTTTATTGGAGATTAGAGTCTCACAAACTTTCTTGCCTGGGCTGGCTTTGAACCATGATCCTCAGATCTCAGCCTCCTGAGTAGCCAGGATTACAAGTGTGAGCCACCAGCGCCCAGCAAGCAAAACTAATATTTTTTTTGAAAAATGTAGAGAAATGAGTCATATGGTGAATGATGAATGCTTGGGTGGGGACCGTTAGCAGACTTCTACCACTTGAGGCACACCTCTAGCCTGAGTTGTTCTGATAAACTGAAGCTAGAATCCTGTGGATGTCTGTACAGGCTGGTTATAAATGAAGACCCTCCAGATCTCAGCCTGCTGAGCTGGATGATGGAGTGAGCCACTTGCACAGAATTCGGACTCTGAAACTACATTGGACTCAAAATCGTTGGCAGGTTATTTGACCTTTGGGGAGCTTGTTTTTCACGTCTGTGAAATGGGCAGCGCACTGAATGAGCTTGCAAGGAAGAGTAAAATAGGCAGAGGGCTGAGAACACCCAGCTTTCAAGGTCACACGGCTGTTTCGAAGGGCGGGGACTTCCTGCCCTATCCCATGGAATTCCCCACTTCCCGGTCCCAGCTGCCCACGCCCGGCCATTCCAGAGTAGACCTAGGATCTAGGTTCAAGTTGAACCTGAGGAAGTCCCCCAAAGAGGCCCCATCCCACCCCAGGGGGAGGGCTCACATCGTCCGTGAAGATGGCCAGCTTCCCGCTCTCCAGCATGTCCTCCAGCTCTTCGTTGGTCGTGGTCCTGCCGGCTGTGGAGAGAAGGGACTCCCTGCTCAGGGGCTGGGCCCACTAGGGAGCCTGCGGTGGTGGGGTGGGGCAGGACCCGGGGGCCCCCTCTCCCACCGGCTTTAGGCCAGGCGCCCCCGGGGAGGGTGGAGGAGACCAGGGGTATACGCACTGATCTCCAGCTGCCGCTGGATCCGGTCCTTGCAGCGGTCTCGGTACTTGGACTGAGTCGCATTATACTCGGTCATTACCTCCACGAACTTCCGGGAGAGTGTTGAGTGCTGGGGGGGGGTGGTGGTGGAGCACAGACAGTGGGGTGGGCAGGGGGCAGAGGTGCTGGGCAGACTTAGTTTACCGCCCCCCCACAAATGCGGCCCATTCCACGCCAGCACCTGCCAGAGACCTGAAGATACAGCCCAAACCCGCCCTTCACCGTAACCCCGCCCACACAAGGCCACGCCCACTTGCCACGCCCATGTTATGGCCCCGCCTATCCGTCTGGCCCCGCCCCCAAGCGCTCCAGGCCCAGCTCCTCCCATCTCTTCGCAGGCCCAGTCCAGCCTTCGCCTCCTACCTGGGTCTTGCGGATGCGCAGGTCCGCGGAGGAACGGTTCAGCCCCTCTTCCTGTTCAATGCTTTGCTCAATCGCTGTGGGACAAAGGGTGCAGTGACTGGTGGGAGACCTAGGGCAGGTGGGGTGAGGGGTCTGGGGCACAGGAAAGGCCGACACCCAGAGACAGGCTCTGGGCCTGGGAAGAGATGTCATGAGTGTGGAGAGGACGGGCAGTAGAGGAGGCAGGGAGAAGGCCAGGCCAGCAGATAAACAAGCAAGTGTATTTTGGGGAGGGGGGGGTCCCAGGCAGGTAGCAGGGGAGGTTGCCTGAGGTCATGTCATTAGCCAATCCTGAGCTATGCCTTTTTCTTTCTTTCTCTTTCTTTCTTTCTCTTTCTTTCTTTCTTTCTTTCTTTTTTATTTATTGCCAGTCCTGGGCTTGAATTTGGCCTGGGCACTGTCCATGACCAGGCTAGCACTCTACCACTTGAGTCACAGCCAAACGTCCAGCTTTTTCTGTGTATGTGGTACTGAGGAATCGAGCCCAGGGCTTCATGCATATGAGGCAAGCACACTGCCGTTAAGCCACATTCCATGTGCCACTAACTTTCAACTGAATAGGGGCAGAAATCCACCCTGCAGAATTTTTTTGGCAGGGGAAAGGAGAGTATTGGGGAATTGAGGTTTGAACTATGGACCTAACCCAGTCAAGCATTTACCACTTGAGCCACACTCTCAACTCCTTGATCCTTCATTTTTTCTAGTATCTCTACTTTTCTTTTCTTTCTTTCTTTCTTTCTTTTTTTTTTTTTTTGTCGGTCATGGGGCTTGAACTATGGGCCTGAGCGCTGTCCCTCAGCTCTTCAGCTCAAGGCTAGCATTCTACCACTTGAGCTACAGCGCCACTTCCGGTTTTCTAGTGGTTTTATTGGAGATAGGAGTCTCATGGTCTTTCCTGCCTGGGCTGGCTTTGAACCTCGATCCTCAGATCTCAGCCTCCTGAGTAGCTAGGATTAGAGGCGTGAGTCACCAGCGCCCGGCTTCTTTCTTTCTTTCTTTCTTTCTTTCTTTCTTTCTTTCTTTCTTTCTCTCTCTTTCTTTCTTTCTTTCTTTTTTTTGTCGGTCATGGGCACTCTCCCAGAGTTCTTCAGCTCAAGGCAAGTGCTCTACCCTTGAGCCACAGTGCCACTTCTGGTTTTCTGGTGGTTAATTGGAGATAAGAGTCTCATGGACTTTCCTGCTTGGGCTGGCTTTGAACTGTGACCCTTAGATCTCAGCCTCCTGAGTAGCTAGGATTACAGGCATGAACCACCAGACCCAGCTTGGATCTCTAGTTTTCTATGGGTTGGGCCCAGATCACAGTCCTCCAATCTCCTCCTGGGTAACTGGGATTATAGGCATATACTACTGGAGAGAGGGAAGAGAGGAGGGCCTTCTTTTTTGTTGTTGTTGTTTGTGCTGATACTGGAGCTTGAACTCCTGGCCTGCAAAGCGATCCCTTGTCCTGGAAGTTCATATGTCTAAAAGGTGTCTTGGAAAAGTGAAAAGATGAACTAGAATTCCTGCTTCTGGATCATGCACACCTAATACCACCATTCAGATTTTCTGAAAAAGAGCATGAGGTACGATCTAATAGAGTTAGATCAGAAAATGCAGCAGAGATGAATCACTCAGCCTGCCCGTTCCAAGGGCCTCTAGGCTATTCCTGAGAACATGGCTTCTCTGAGCTGCTGGCAGCTGCTGTGGGGAGGTATGAGGCTGGCCTACACCCCAAGGATCCCCTGCCAGCAAAAGCAGGCATAGTTAATGAGTGGCGGCTCTGGCCTGAGGATGTGGGGAAAGCATAGGGATACCTAAGAAGGAATACTCAATGTGCTGGCCTGGCTGAGGCCCTGTTTCAGATGTGGGGCTAGGCCAAGTATGGAGGGAGGAGTCTTCTATGTTGTTTCATAGACTTTTCAGGACAATCCTGAGAATTCTGTGATATTACCTCCTGTTTCAGACTAGAAACTGAGACTCAAATGGGTAAAACAATTCAAAGTCAAGTTCAGCTACCAACTAGAAGAGCCAAGGCGCCTCTCCTCTCTCTCTCTCTCTCTCTCTCTTTCACTCTCTCCACCATTTGAGTCACAGTTCCATTTCTGGCTTTTTAAGCTGGCTTCAAAACAGGATCCTCATATCTCAGCCTCCTGAGTAGCTAGGATTATAGCCCTGAGCCTCTGGCATCCAGCTGGTTTTCTCTTTTTCTGGACATCTGAACGGTCAGCTTCTTGTGTGTGTGTGTGTGTGTGTGTGTGTGTGTGTGTGTGTGTGTGTGTGTATGTATGCACGCAGGTATGTATGTATATCATAGTTGAACTCAGGGCCTGCGCACTGTCTTTGAGCTTTTTCACTTAAGACTAGCACTCAGCCGGGCGCTGGTGGCTCACGCCTGTAATCCTAGCTACCCAGGAGGCTGAGATCTGAGGATCACGGTTCAAAGCCAGCCCGGGCAGGAGAGACCGTGAGACTCCTATCTCCAATAAACCACCAGAAAACCGGAAGTGGCGCTGTAGCTCAAGTGGTAGAGCGCTCGCCTTGAGCTGAAGAGCTGAGGGACAGCGCCCAGGCCCAGAGTTCAAGCCCCACGACCGACAAAAAAAAAAAAAAAAAGACTAGCACTCTACTACTTTGAGCCACAACACCACTTCTGGTTTTCTGGTAGCTAATTGGAGGTAAGAGTCTCAAGGACTTTCCTGCCTAGGCTAGCTTTGAACTGGGATTCTCAGATCTCAGCCTCCCGAGTAGCTAGGATTACAGGCGTGAACCACTGGTGCCTAGATAATTTATTTATTTATTTATGTGCTTGACTTTATTGTTTTAATGGGCGTGACTTCCGGGCCTCTTGTTCTGACAGCTTCTCACTCAAGGCTGGTGCTTTACCACTTGAGGTACACTTCCACTTCCAGCTTTTTGGTGGTTAACTGGAGGGAAGTGTCTTGAACATTTATTTGCCTGGACTGGTGATCCTCAAATCTCAGCTTCCTAAGTAGGTTTGATGGTAGGCATGAACCATTAGAACTTTATTTTATTTATTTATTTATTTTTGTCGGTCGTGGGGCCTGAACTCTGGGCTTGGGCGCTGTCACTCAGCTCTTCAGCTCAAGGCTAGCGCTCTATCGCTTCAGCCATAGTGCCACTTCCGGTTTTCTGTTGGTTAACTGGAGATAGGAGTCTCACAGTCTTTTTCTGCCCGGGCTGGCTTTGAACCACGATCCTCAGATCTCAGCCTCCTGGGTAGCTAGGATTACAGGCGTGAGCCACTGGCACCTGGCAACCGATACTTTTTAAAAAAATATAATCTTTGTAAAATTTCACTTGGAGTAAAAGATTTTACTGGGACTGGCAATGTGGCCTAGTGGTAGAGTGCTTGCCTAGCATGCATGAAGCCCTGAGTTCCATTCCTCAGTACCACATACACAGAAAAAGCCAGAAGTGGCTCTGTGGCTCAAGTGGTAGAGTGCTAGCCTTGAGCAAAAGAAGCTCAGGGACAGTGCCTACACCCCAAGTTCAAGCCCCAGGACTGGAAGAAAAAGAAAAAGCTGAAAGTGGCACTGTAGTTCATTTGGTAGAGTGCCAGCCTTGCGTGAAAAAGTTAGAAGCAAGTGTCCAAATCCCGAGTTCAAAATGTAGTACAGGTGCATGCGCGCGCGCGCACACACACACACACACACACACACACACACAGAACAATCTGGGCACTGGTGGCTCACATCTATCATCCTAGCTACTCAGGAGGTTGAGTTCAAAGCCAGCCTGGGCAGGAAAGCCCATGAGACTTATCTACAATTAACTACAGAAAGCAGGAAGTAGTGCTGTAGCTCAAAGTGGTGCAGCATTTTTGGCCTTGAGCAAGAAAGTTCAGGGACAGCATCCAAGCCCTGAATTCAAGCCCCATGACCACCAGCAACAACAATAACAAAAGAGTTAACAACAACAAAAAAAAAAACAGTATTTCTGGGCTTGGCGGTGCAAGCCTGTAATTGTAATCCCAGCATTCAGAAGGCTGAGACTGGAGGACTGGGAATGTGGCCTAGTGGTAGAGTGCTTGCCTAGCATGCATGAAGCCCTGGGTTCAATTCCTCAGTACCACATACACAGAAAAAGCCAGAAGTAGCACTGTGGCTCAAGTGGTACAATGCTAGCCTTGAGCACAGAGAGGCTCAGGGACAGCGCCCAGGCCCTGAGTTTAAGCCCCAGGACTGGAAAAAAAAAAAAAAAAAGGCTGAGACTGGAGAGTTGAGAGTTCCAGGCCAGCTTGGGCTATATAGTGAGATCCAGCCTCAAAAAGGGAAAGAGAAAGAGACAGGAAGAAGGAAAGGGCTGCTGAGCGCTGGCAGCTGATGCCTATAATCCTAGCGACTCAGGAGACTGAGATCTGAGGAACACAGTTCAAAGCCAGCCCAGGCGGGAAAGTCCCTGAATCTCTTACCTCTAATGAACCACCAGAAAACCAAAAGTGGAGCTTGGCTCAAAGTGCTAGAGTGCTAGCCTTGAGCAAAAAGAGCTCAGGGACAGTGCAAAGGCCCCCAGTTCAAGCCCCACAACCACAACCAACTTAAAAAAAAGAAAGAAAAAAACCAAGTTTTGAAATTGCTTCAATTTCCCCTACTGTACAGATGAGCAGGCTGGGGGTAGGCTGCTCGTAGAGGCTGGGTTTGCTCTGCTGGGATTTGCACCGATCCCGGAACAGAGCGTTTCCATCTCACACACTCACCTTGAGTGCAAGGAGCTTGTTGTTACCCATCAGCCTCCGCAGGGTACCTATGGCCTCTCTGAATCTGAGAGGACATCCGGCTTTTGTCCTTGTCTCCCTAGCCCAAGGTCACTGGGCCAAGCACCATGTCAAGCTCCTGTCCCTAAAGCTTAGCGGTGATGGGCTTCACACACCGTAGGTCCTTGGCAAAGGCTCCAGATGCTGAATTACGATCGGTGCACAAATTAGCCTCCCGGTAGCATTGTTATTCCCGGGGTACCAGCACACGAGGAGGTTCCCGACCCACAATGCTTTGGGGGAAGGTGGTTATTACCAGCGCCCAAGTCCTTAAATTAGAGTGAATACATGAGCACTTGGCAGGGCTCTCCTGAAAACGTGCCAGCCCCTGATGTCAGCCACACAGTCCAATCTGGCCTGAGCTGACAGTACTGATACAGGAGCGAGCATTTCTGAACCCATCCATGCTGGGGCGGGGAGGGAGGGGTGCCAGGACAAATAAGGACTTCACAAAAGCGAAGTCTTGTTTTTCAAAAGCAAAGACCCTTTTCCCAAGGGATCTTCACCCTGATGGAACCCACAGCACTCAGATGCAAACCTTCCTTCGCTCATGTCTCTGTCATGTCATTCTCTATACAACTGGGACTAAGCAGGGGTGCCGGTAGCTCATGCCTGCCTGTAATCCTAGCTACTCAGGCCAGCCCAGGCAGAAAGGTCTGTGACACTCTCCTCTCTAATTAACAAGCAAAAGGAGGGCTGGGAAGGTGGCTCAGTGGTAGAGCGCTTGCCTTGCATGAATGAGGCCCTAGGTTCGATTCCTCAGCACCACATAAGCAAAAAGAAAAAAGCCGGAAGTGGCGCTGTGGCTCAAGTGGTAGAACGCTAGCCTTGAACTGAAGAGCTGAGGGACAGCGCCCAGGCCCAGAGTTCCGGCCCCACGACCGGACCCAAAAAAAAAAAACAAGCAAAAGGAAAGAAAAACGAAAAGCCAGAAGTAGAGCTATGGCTCAACTGATAGAGGGCCAGCCTTGAGTGGAAAAAGCTCAAGTCAAGCCCTGAGTTCAAGTCCCAGGACTGGAATATCAACAATAAAAACAACAACAACAACAAAAGATCTGGATAGCCGGGCACCAGTGGCTCACGCCTGTAATCCTAACTTCTCAGGAGGCTGAGATCTGAGGATTGTGGTTTAAAGCCAGCCTGGGCAGGAAAATCTGTGAGACTTATCTCCAATTAACCACCAGAAAAACGGAGGTGGCGCTGTGGCTCAAGTGGTAAAGCACTGGTCTTGAGCTGAAAAGTTCAGGGACAGCACGCAGACCCAGAGTTCAAGCCCCATGACCAAAAAAAAAAAAAAAGAAGATCTGGATGTAGAGCAGGGTTATGGTGGTACATGCCTATAATTCCATCACTCAAATCTAGGCAAAAGGATTGTGAGTTCTAGACTAGCATGAGCTACACAGTGAGATCTTGTTTCAAAAACCCAAGGGCTAGGGTGTAGTTCATTGGTAGAGAGCTTGTCTAGCACGTACAAGGCCCTGAGTTCCCTCCCCAGCTCTGGGGGAGAAAAAGAAGCAGCCAGGCACCATTGGCTCACAGCTTATAATCCTAGCTACTCAAGGCTGAGATTTAAGGAGCGAGATTTACAAGCCTGGGTAGAGAAATTCTCAAGGCTCTTATTTCTAATTAACCAGCAAAAAGCCAAAACTGGAGGCTTGCCTCAAGTAGAGTACTAGCTGTGAATGAAAAAGCCAAGCAACAAGGTAAGGTCTTGGCTGGGAATGTGGCTTAGTGGTAGAGTGCTTGCCTAGCATGCATGAAACCCTGGGTTCCATTCCACAGTACCACATAAATAGAAAAAGCCAGAAGTGGTGCTTTGGCTCAAGTGGTAGAGTACTAGCCTTGAGCAAAAGAAGCTCAGGGAAGCCAGGTGCCAGTGGCTCACGCTTGTAATCTTAGCTACTCTGGAGGCTGAGATCTGAGGATCACAGTTCAAAGCCAGCCTGGGCAGGAAAGTCCATGAGACTCTTATCTCCAATGAACCACCAGAAAACTGGAAGTAGTGCTGTGGCTCAAGTGGTAGAGCACTTGCCTTGAGCTGAAGAGCTCAGGGACAGTGCCCAGGCCCTGAGTTCACACCCCAAGACTGGCAAAAGAAAAAGAAGACTCTAAGGCCTTGAGTTCCAGCCCCAGGAATGGCACGCATGCACACACACACACACACACACACACACACACACACACACACACACACACACAGAGCAGCAGCAGCAGCAGCAGCAGCAGCAAGTCTGGGTTTTGTGCTTTCTCACTGTTTAGGAATCTGGCTCCCAGAGGGTTGTTTTTTTTTCCTCCTTAGCTCAGAATTGCACTCCTCACCTTTCAACTTGGACCGGACCTTGTTGGCCGTCTTTTTGATGTCTGCAGTAAGATCCTCCAGCTCCTGTTTGGTCTCTAAGGGGAAGAAGCCGAGGAGGCTGAGTGAGAAGTCTGTGTGGAACCCCAGTAACCTTCCCCCCACACCCCATCCCAAACACCTGAAAGCAACACTCACTCTCATCTGGGTTGGGGGCGGCCAGGATGGCGCTATGCTGTTTTTTCACCTGCTCCACGTCTTCCGACAGCTTCTCAATGCAGCCTCGAATCTCCTCCACCTGGGGGGGAACCACCCATGACACCCAGCCAAGTGCTGGGGAGATCCAGAGAGTCTCCAGGGCTCAGGGAATAAGGTCAAAGGCACAGGGGAGAAATAGGGGCACAGCAAAAGGGAAGCTGTTGGGAAGGGGCCCGTTTCTGGGTGTGGGGCACTGAGGATTCATTACCTGTTCGAAGAACTCATCCATAAAGTGGTCTCGGTCCACGTGGACCACCTCCTCTTCATCATCACTGTCTTTTGCCTGGAAGATAAAGGAAGATAGATCCGTCCATGAGCAATCTTCACCCTGGTCCCTGAGGCTGGGTCTCTCCCCTTTTCCCTACCATGCAACCACAGGTGCTGCTCCCAGCTTAGGCTCAGAAAGGAGGCTTCAAGAAAGACCTAAACAGGCTGGGAATGTGGCTTAGTGGTAGAGTGCTTGCCTAGCATGCATGAAGCTCTGGGTTCAATTCCTCAGTACTGCATAAACAGGAAAAGCCAGATGTGGTACTGTGGCTCCAGTGGTAGGGTGCTTAGCCTTGAGCAAAAGAAGCTCAGGGACAAGGCCCAGGACTGGCAAAACAAAGGAAGGAAGGAAGAAAGGAAGGAAAGAAGGAAGGAAGGAAGGAAGCAGGAAGGCAGGCAGGCAGGCAAGAGAAGAAAAGAAAAGAAAGACCCAAATGCTGGGCATTGGTGGCTCATGCCGGTAATCCTAGCTCTTCAAGAGGCTGAAATCTCAGAAGCACAGTTCAAAGCCAGCCAGGCAGAAAAGTCCCTCCAATTAACCACTCAAAAACCAGAAGTGGCACTGTAGCTCAAAGTGGTAGAGTGCTAGCCTTGAGTAAAAGAGCTCGTGGACAGTGCCCAGGCCCCACAACCAACCCCCCCCCCCCACAAAAAAAGGAAGGGGGTGCTGTGAAGGCACCAAAATTCTGAATGAACGTTAGGTACCATAGTATTCTATGGAACTTGGAACTCAGGGCCTGGGGTCTGTCCGTGTGTGTGTGTGTGTGTGTGTGTGTAGCCTTATGGGTACAGCTTCTCACTGGAAGGGGATAGTATTCAGGGCAGCTGCTATTGACCAATCAGGATGGATGTATTTCAATATTTTAACCATCAGCTAAATGTCAGTCTTGCAATAATTGGCTCTGAGCTCCAAGAAGGATTCTGGAATCCACTGGTGTCTCTGGATCCTGAACTTTCCTGATATGCTTCCACAATACCTGCTCAGGCCTCAATGGACTCCCCTTCTTTTCCCCTCCACCTTCCCCCCCCCCCCCCCCCGGCCTCGTGCACCTGACCAGCTACATCTCCTATACAAGGTCACTTCACAGCCAATGGCAGGGCACAGGGAAGGTGGGTGAGTGAAGCAGACAGCACCCGATCCCTCTTCCTGCGCCTTCCTCCTGCCACCCACCCTCACTCCTCTTTCTCGGCCAACTTGTCTCATGGATTCAGTCGTGGATTCAATTGCTTTCACCCAGCGCCTTCCAACAGCACACCCACCCACTCCTGCTTGCTTGGGTTTTCCAGTTGCAGCCGGCAGCTGCTCAGCCCTCCACCCCCGGGGCTCACAGACACAAAGGGAGTTACCCACCCACACCGCCACCGCCACCAACAGACAGACCGGGGCCACAGACAGAAGCACTGACATAAAGGCGCACAGAAATAGTCCTCGACACCCACACGGAGACACACTGCCACGCTGACGTTTGCTGCACACAGGCCCACAGCAGAGCTGCACGCCGACACGTGGACACACAGATGTGTAACGCACTCAGAGGGACAGCAGGGACTCGGAGGGGCTGGGTGTGCAGGTTCACTCCGCTGATTGGAAGATGCAAGGGACAGAGCCTTTCCTATCCTAACCCCACGCTCGTTTTCTGCTTGGGACTGAGGTGTGAAGGCAAAGTTGGACCCCATCAACCTTAATTACATTTGGAACTCTAATGGGCCCCAGTGGAAATTTAAACAAGAATGAATCCCAGGTTCCAGAAAGAATCTGGCCAGGCTCAGACAGAATCTAGCTATAAGAGCCTGAATGAATAAAATCAACTCAGGATGTCAAATGGCCTCTGTCTGAGGCTCCACCAATGGAGAAGCCCCAACTCGGCCTAAGGAGATTGCAGACGGGCCTGACAGGCCTGCGCAGAAATCAAACAGGCTCAAAGTACACTCTACTAGGCTAGACAGACTTCAGACAGCTCAGATCGAACCTAGACAGAGTCAGATGGGACCTAGATACATACAATCTGGATAGTCAAGAGTGCTTGGGATCAGCAGAAATCCACAAAACCGGGAAGAACTGCAAAGACCACAGAAGCCATGCTTCTCCAGGTCCCTAAAGCCTCTAATCCATGCCCTGCCCAAATGACACTCTGGGGAGTCTGGGTACATACAGCCTCAGGGGTGAAGCACTCCCAAACATCTGGCTGCAAAAGGAACTTCCTGCTGCTGCTTTTTTGTTATTGTTGTTAGTCCTGGGGCTTGAACTCAGGGCCTGGGGTCTGTCTCTGAGCCTCTCTGTGCTCAAGGCTAGCCCTCTACCACTTGAGCTACAGGGCCACTTCTGGCTTTCTGGTAGTTAACTGGAGATAAGAGTCTCATGGACTTTCCTGGCTAGGCTGGCTTTGAACTATGATCCTCAGATCTCAGCCTCCTGAGTAGCTAGGATGAAAGGCATGAGCCACACTGGTGCCCAAGGCTTCTTGCTTGTTGAACACAGCTGGTGGCCCTGGTGGGTCTTGTGGGGACCCTCTGAGAGGATTGTGGCTTCTAAAATCTCCATTCAACTCAGAAACATCCCTAGAGAGACCTTACTTGGCCCAAAGAGGCTCTAGAGTGCAAGATTCATCGTGGAGATCGGCCAGTTTCCCACTATAGCTGCTAAATTCTCAGTCCTCAAACACCAGCTGCCCTGGAAGACCCCCTCTGAGCCTTACTACCCACCCATCCAGCCTTCCACCCTCATGAAGATCAGGGGTCCCTCGCCGGTCCAGGTGCTTGGGGACTTTTCTGTCTCTTTAGGAAGTCCTTCCTAAAGTCTAATGTCACTCCCTCCTGTTGTTCCTAGAGATTTCTTTCTGGAGTCTCCAGGCTACCTATTTACTTGTCTTTGAGTAAAGAGGGAAGAGAGACAGAAAGGCCCAAGTCCAATTTCTCTGGTATCATTACAAAGAGAACGGAGAGCTAATAATCCTCCACGTTTATAAACACATTTATAATCCTTTCTGATCTTCAGCCCAGCTCAGGGAAGAGAGAGAGCTAAACAAACAGTAATATCCCTCTTTCCCTGATGAAGGATCAGAGGAAAGTGGCCAGACTGAACAAGGCTGGGACACTGTGGACACCAGGCCTGCTCTTCCTGATCAAGCCTTTTCTGGGGAGGGCTTCTGTGCCTGGAAAACCTAGCAAACACTTTGTTGTTGTTGTTGTTGGTCATGGGGCTTAAACTTGGGGCCTGGGAACTCTCCCTGAGCTCTTTAGCTCAAGGTGAGTGTCTACCATTCGAGTCACAGAGCCACTTCCGGTTTTCTGGTGTTAATTGGAGATAAGAGTCTCATGGACTTTTCCTGCCCAGGCTGGCTTTGAACTGCGATCCTCAGATCTCAGCCTCCTGTGTAGCTAGGATTACAGGCGTGAGCCACCAGCACCTAGCTCCCCAAGCTCTTTTTGCTCAAGGCTAGCACTCTCCCATTTTGAAACTCAGTTCCACTTCTGGTTTTCTGGTAGTTCGTTGGAGATAAGAGAGTCTCAGGAACTTTCCTGCCCAGGCTGGCTCTGAGCCGATCCTCAGCTCTCAGCTTCCTGAGTAGCTAGGATGACAGGCGTGAGCCACCAGTGCCTAGCAAATGTTTTCATTTGTTAGTTCCTTTCATGAGTCTGACACTCTTGTTTTCTCTTAGTCTTCATTAAAACTCTGTAAGGCCCATTGGCCAACATAATTACAATTATGACATTTAGACAATGAGCTGCTGCTCTGTGCACTCCGCACGTGTTTGTCTATGTGTGTGTGTTTGGTTTGTTGAGATGGATGTATACTTCATATACTAGATACCCTCAAACTCAAGATCCTCTAGTCTCAAGCCAGGTACCAGTGGCTCATGCCTATAATCCCAGCTACTCAAGAGGTTGAGATCTGAGGATTGCAGTTCAAAGCCAGTCCAGGAAGGAAAGTCTATGAGACTTTCATCTTCAATTTGCCAGCAAAAAGCCAGACATGGAGTTATGGCTCAAGTGCTAGAGCAGCAGCCTTGCGTGAAAGAATGAAGGGACAGCATTTAGGCCTGGAGGTCAAGTCCCAGTATTGGCACAAAAAAAGAAAGCCACAAAACCCTCTACCCTGCCTCAGCTTATTGAGTGCTGGGATTACAGGTGTGTGACACCATGCTTGGCTTACCCACTTAATTCTTACAACAACCTCCTAGGGTAGACATTATTATAGTCCCCTTTTAAGGATGGGGAAACTGAGGTAGAGACAGGCTGAAGAATTTGCCCCTGGTGAGCTGCTAGAAGATCATGTGACTTCTCTCCTCTGAGTCTTTGGACCACATGTAACTACCCTACCTAGCAGTCAGGAGGCCACAAAACAAAGCAGGAAAAATGCCTAACATTATCGTGAAGAGAACATGTACTTCATGATGGCTGGCTATTGCCTCTTGCTACTTTGTTACACATAAAGAGACAGGCTCAGATACAACCTGCATCACCTATATAAGGCTATGTAAGGCCAAGAGGACCAGAGGTAGAATGTAAACTCAGAGTCTACTCTGTTGTATCCTAAGTGTGTTTGAGCTCCTATGATCAGAACAGGACTTTCAGGAAGAGCCCAGACAGGAAGCCGGGACTTCCAGCCTGAAAGAGACCTCCTGTGGGGCTCCAGGGAAATCTCAGGTCCTCTCTGGGGTCTGGTCCATGAGAGGGTAATTTTCAGATGAGTGTTCAGCAAGGGTCACATTGCTCCAAGATGTATGTGTTAAATAACAGGGAGAGTCTCCAATTCTAGAAGTCAGAGCAGTCTAAAAGCACTCGGGCTGCAGGCACCAGAGACAACATAGGAAAAGACACTCAAGTTGTTCTATTTTTCTTTTCTTTGTTTTTTTTTTATCTGTGGGGCTTGAACTCAGAGCCTGGGCACAGATCCTGAGCTTTTGTACTCAAGACTAGCGCTCTACCACTTTGAGCCACAGCTCCACTTTTGGTTTTCTGGTGGTTCATTGGTGATGAGAGTCTCATGGACTTTCCTGCCCGGGCTGGCTTTGA